CATATTCATATTGAGGCCCCATTTTTCATATTCTTTCTTTAGTTTTCTAAACATGTAGTCCATGTCTTCCTCGTCATTCGCTACGACTACCTGATCATCTGCGAAAAATAAAGCTGTTAGACATTCACCACCGCCTATGTCTATTCCCATTCCGGATACTTGTTTTCTCCACTGCTCTAGCGATGATTGAATATATATTTTAAACAGGGCCGGAGACAGACAATATCCTTGTTTAAGCCCCTTGGTTATTGGAAATGATTCAGATATAAAGTTTCCTTCTTTAACGACACTTCTTGCATTTTTGTATATATTTGCGATAGCATCCACATACTCTCTACTGAGACCTACTTTCGTCAATGTATAAAATAGTTTTTTCAAAGGTACCGTATCATATGCCTTCTCTAAATCTACAAACAATAGGTGGGTAGATAGATTCCTTGCCTTCCGTTTTTCGATTACCTGCTGCAGAACGAATATATTATCAATGCACGATCTTCCTGTCCGAAATCCATTTTGTTCCTCTATGTCTTTATATTCTGATTCAATTCGTTTTTTTATTATTTCGACCGTACAACCTCCCCACTGAGCTAGTAACAGTTATTCCTCTATAATTAGAGCAATTGCGTTTATCCCCTTTTTTGTATATTGAGCTGATGTATCCAACATTCCAATCATAGGATATTTTGTCCTTTTAAGCATTTATTGAATAGTTTAACCATCATCTCGTGTAATATTTTTGGTCCATACTTACCAACTTAATTGGGATGTCTCCAGGTCCTGCTGCTTTACCGTTTTTCGATCTTTTGAGGCATCGCTTAACTCTCCGGTTGTTATCTCAATTATTTGTGTATGTTCAGATATTTCTTCCATTTCGATATCTTGGAATTTACGTCTATCCTCTGTCAATAAGACCTCATAATGTTGTTTCCACTGTTTCAGATCTATTAATTTTAAGTTAGATTTTTCCTTTCCTTCCCTCCGGAGAGACTTTATCACCTTCCACGCTTGCCCAACTCTTGTTCCACCCATATACCTATCCACCTCTGCACATCTTCGATCCCACATCTCATTTTTACTTTTCACTACTTCTCTTTTTACATCTCGATTTAATTTCGTATATACCTTGTGATCTTCCTCCTTTCTCGTTGACATCCATTTCTGATAAGCAGTTTTCTTCTTGTTTACTAACGTTTGCATATTCTCCGACCACCATTCTTGATTTTTTGTTTCATGTTTGTCTTTATAACCCAAAGCTTCACTTGCAGCCTCATGAATGTACTTTTTAAGTTGTTTGGTATAATTCTTCCGCTGTTATATTTTCTCGATCCACATTTTGTAATTTTGTGGCCAGTCGTAATTTGTAAAGAAATTTTGTTGAATCTTCTTTTAAGCTTTCTAGGTTATATTTAGGAGATGTTACTTTTTGTCCCTTTTCTATATTCTGTACCTGAGTGTTATTGTTTTTTGCGATAGTTAACTATCACATTGGCCATAAGTAAATGATGGTCGGATCCACATTCTGATCCACGGTATAACCCTTACGTCAGTTGTTTTCAGCTGGGAAGTTTGACGTTGGATTACAAAGTCGATTATCGAGCGCAGATTCCTAGTAGGTTGTATCCATGTAAATTTGTGGATGTCTCTATGTTGAAAAAATCCATTCATAATTTTGAGAGACATTATTTCACAAAAATCTCGACGCATTCCGTTGTCATTGGTTATTTGTTCTCCATATCTTCCTACGACTCTGCTATTTTCTTCTGTCCCTACTCTGCCGTTTAAATCTCCTAGTATAAAGATTTCACAGTTTTCTTTAACTTCAGAGAGTATTTCATTCATATTGTCGTAGAAATCGTCTTTACTTTCTGGATTTGCATCTTCGTTTGGGGCATATACTCCGACAATTACGATATTGTGCCCATTCTTTTTCATTTCCAGTATTAGTAGTTGTTCATTTACTTCAGTTCACGATTTAATGTTGTTTTTAAAGATTTTTTCGAATGGCAATAGAGACTCCCCTCTTAGCTCTGTTATCTTTACTCACTCCGCTGTAGATATGTATAGAAGAATATAAAAAACTAAATAAAAGAATTTCAGCGGAATGGAATGGAGGCCCAGAAACTATAAAAGAAGCCGAGGACGACCACCGACTAGATGGACCGATGCTATAAAAAGTGCAGCGGGAAACTGGCTACAAGCGGCCCAGTGTAGAGAACACTAGAAAGAACTGAGGGACGCCTATGTCCAGCAGTGGACGCGATTGGCTGATTGATGATGATGACCTGTTCTTCTGTTGTATAAACAGTCGGCATATCAAATTTTTATCTTCACACTGACGCGTTTACCTCAGAAAAGAAATGCATAGAATAGCTTTCGGCCTGTCTCGCAGATTACCATTGAAGAGAACGGACGAATGGCGATGTTGCCAAAGTTATCTTGTTTTATTTATAAATTAGGTTACAATTTCGTCAAATAAAAATAGGAATCTGTAAATTTCTCATGGATTTAAGAAATTTTGTACCAGTATTTGTGTCAATTAGTGTTTCATTTTTAATATCATCATCCACTTTTGAATGGCAATATAACCGCGCCACTGATCGCCATTTTTTAAAATTAATTCAATGTTTTAATTCAAATATGTAATAAGGCAACCCTGCCGCCTTTTCTTACGTATAAGCTGGATCGGAAATAATCATCTGGCGTTCACTAATGGTTGTGCATGAGGAATGTGGAAGGGAGACCAAGGGGAAATATGATTGTTGTCTTTGTTTATTCACTGAAAATATGATTTTATATCTGTGTTAGATATCCTGTTAAATTCTACTATACTGACTAGAAACTTTTACCTACACCGTATAAGTTGTACAAGTCGGGGGGTGTATACCCTATTGTAAATCTGGAACTAGAGGGTGAGAAAATCTTTACCACTGTACAACGCTGTCACCACTGGAACATCCTCGATATGAACCTTAAGGATGCTTATCCCTGCGAGCGGCTGCAAGGCTTACTGGTCCCAATAGTCTGAACTGGCTGGTTCGCCTTCGTGGCTTTACGGGAAGGTAGGGACTTTCCGGGATAGGGGTTAACGGACTTCTAGGTCTTAGGTCCTGTAAAGAGTTTGAGTCTATGGACTTACTTTAGAAGCCGGATAATTGCATAAGCAGAACTTTTATACCCTTCTGGTCTCTGTCTGAATTGGCCTGGGAAGGAATATTAAAACCAAATTTCTAGTCTACAAAATGTATTAAATATACTATGTGATTACAATTGAGTTAACAAGCAGTCAGTTATAACCAATAATAATCCGTTCAGGTGCGAAGGGAGACGAGAAGAGGCCTTAGCAAGAAAGTAAAGGAGTGACAAATCTGTACTATTATATATTACTTGGGTTAGTATATAGATTTTTGTTACCTTCGCGTATTTAGGCTCTAGCTAATGAATACGCCCTTCAGTTTCTCTGGAATTCAAGTTCAGTTGTGGAGAATATCGCGTTCTGACAGGAACTTTTCACTCGGCCGGTATTCGACACTTTATACGAACTATCTCCCGCAATCAAAACAATCGACTAGTACCCGCCTCTAACCCCCGGAGCCGGCAGATCACTGCCTCGCAGCAGTCACGGTGCCCAACTACTACTGACTCCTCTGGCCCCTTCGTTATTTGTTTTTATTGAGCTCGTATTCTCAAATGCCGATTATAGTACCAAGGTCGAGTTTTTGCTGAGTCCTCGTGATTTAAACCAGGTCGGCGCTGATGATATTTTCCGGCGTAGGTCTATGTTTATTAAAACGTAACTATTTTCTTTTGTGAACAATTGTTGCAACTGATATTGGCTCGTGTCATGCAACTAAGTGGGTCAAATTGTTTTTCTTTGTATAATTTAAAATGTATACGTTACTGTATCGAATTTATTCTTTATTTAATTTGGAATATATAATAATTGCTAAAATTATTATTATTCTCTCTTATGCTACTAGCCCGTATTTTTTCTATTCTTATTTTCTTGCTATGTTTACATTACAAAGTTTACATGTATATTATAGAGCAGAGGATCGAAACTATGTCCCTATTTTATTCATTCTATTTTTCTCTATTTATTTGTGACCGTCCTCATACAGTACAAGTATCTGTAATTGTTCCAGATAGTCTCTCTTTGCATAAAATCAAAGACTTCTCTCAGATCCACAAATTTCTTCAACTCTCATATATTATCTAAATATACCAGCTGACTCCAATTTTAGCATTCACCCTTTTTTATGGACCAACAGGAAATTTATTTCCTACATCGTTAGTTCTTTAGACATATAAACAAATAGATGAGGGCTGCCATACAGCCGCGTTTAACTGAGAAAACTGTGTGTGACCTATATGACCAGTGAGAAGAACATGTGGTCGATAAATCTGGGTCATCGGAAAGAGTGCACTCACTGATTTACGTCAGTTTTTTCTGTCGCACTGTGGAATGTGTCTTTCAAAATTCCACGAGGAAGCTAAGTTCCTGTAGCTGGCTGTATACCATATATCACAAAAAATTGTTTAAAATCCTTTATAAAAGGTATATAAAAAATGCCCCAAACGGGCTATCACAAACACATTGCAAAACGTTTTCGGATTGATAAATCCATCTAAATCAATCGATGGATTTATCAATCCGAAAACATTTTGCAATGTGTTTGTGATAGCCCGTTTGGGGCATTTTTTATATACCTTTTATAAAGGATTTTAAACAATTTTTTGAATGTGTCTTTATTTCAGCGCTTCTCTTTATATTATATTATGTCTATGTTACACCTCCTCTATAAAGGTTATGTAAGTCTTTTGGATTGCTCATATTTGGTTTCCTTTCTTCGATCTTAAGACTTTGTTCTAGAAGGCGCCAAAGAAGATCTTTTTTAGAAGGTCTTGCATTGACAACGATTCCTTGATGAAAAAAATATAGATGGTAAGGAATTTGTATGGAAAGGTACTATATTAATTAAAAATAAACATTTCGTTTAATTAAAATGGTTTATTTTGATTTACATCAATTAAACAAAAATCATATAAAGTTCTATTGAGTGTTCAAAGTAAAAAAGTCAGAATATGAATAGACACATTTCTTAAAAAGAAAACCAAAATATATATATTCATGAAATTACAAAAACTACTAAACTCTATGTCTATATCTACATATCCACATTCAGATTCGACTCGGTCGTATCATTTACACTATTGGCAGTGATTGTTTTCCTATTTATAGTTTTTCTACTAGAGAATTTCAATTTCCTTTTCTTAGAACGGAGCTTTTTAATTTGTTTTTTCTTCCTCTTCGGTCGAATTTCTTCCTCAAATCAGAAACTGCAACAAATTATTAATTAAAGTACATCACAACATCCATACTACATCATCCAAAACAATCGCAAGGCAGCTATGCTATTGCAGTAAGAAATGGTACTGAACAACATGCTGACACGCTTATATGTAAAATTCAATAGCTTTATTAAAATAGCATGAGTGGAATGCCAATGTGACTTCCAAAGTACAAAAATGAGGTCGAGTTATTTCTACTACACAAGGAAATTGACATTCTGTTAATAAGTGAAAGCCATTTCACAAACTTACTTCAAGACATCCCACTACACAACCTATTCCTCAAACCACCCAGACAATACAGCCCACGCTGGATCAGCTATTCTGATAAAAAATACTATTAAACATGCAGAACTACCAAAGTATGCTGAAAATTGCTTGCAAGCTACAGTTATCAAAGTCAGTATGAGGTCTTAAGAACTAACAGTCGCAGCAGTCTGTCCAAACCGATACAACTTAAAGAAATAAGACTTCAAAAACTTCTTCGAAACTCTAGGACATATATTTATTGCAGGGGGAGACTTCAACAGCAAACTAAAGGCAGAGAACTAGTAAGCTTAAACATTAAAACAACTAAAGCTGAAATTAAAAAGTTGTAGCTCAAAAAAGAAAGCTAGGACCAAGTGGCACCAAACCCATGCCCCAGCAGACGAGACTACATTAAACAGGCTAAGCAATCAACTAAAATCCAAAATTAAAGAGGCACAAGAACTGTCATTTACAAACTACATAGCAAAACTAAACCAGTACGATAACTTAATATGGAAACCGATCAAAAAATCCAAAAAAACCCAAGACTCCGGTACCTCCAATTAGAAACGAACAGGGACCAACAGTACAGTGGGCCAGAAGTGATGAAAAAAACAACGCTATTTGCCGAACACCTAGCTCAAGTATTTACTCCGAACAACGACGGTCCAAATATTGAAATTGAAAGGGACATAAATAACATTCCAGAGAACATACCAGTAATCAGACCACTAACCAAAAATGAAATTCAACAAGAAATCCAATATTTAAACATTAGAAAAGCTCCTGGGCTGGACAAATAACACCCAAGATTATGAAGGAAGCACCAGATAAAGGAATCATACTGATTACTCTCATCTTCAATGCTATTCTACGATTAAACTACTGACCAAAGCTCTTTAAAACCGCTGAAATAATACTAATCCCAAGGAAAGTAGGAAAAAATCCAAATGAGGCTTCTCATATAGACCAATAATAAGCCTACTACCAGTCGTATCCAAAATACTTGAAAGGTTACTGTTACAAAAATTAACTCGGACCCCAATACGGAGGAATGGATACGCAAACACCAATTTGGCTTTCGAAAAAAAAAAAAAAACACTCGACAATACAGCAGGTTCATAGAATATTACACACCATAAATTCTGCAATAGAAAGCAAACACCATTGCACAGCTGCTTTTCTAGATGTTGGTCAAGCCATTGATAAGGTTTGGCACACAGACCTGATTTTCAAAAACAAGAAATATTTACCCATCACGTACCTGAAACTGTTAAAATCCTATCTGAGTATAAGAGAATTACGAACAAGAGTGAATGAATAGTAATTCTGGTGTTCCACAGGGCAGCGTTCTTGGACCAATATTATATGTGATATACACAGCAGATCTCCCTCCACTAATGAAACCATCACTGGCACGTTTGCAGATGATACTGTCATCCTTGCAGCCGACGAAAATCCAATTATAGCATCTAACATTCTACAGGTACAACTGAATGAAATCGAGACATGGTCTTATAAGTGGAGAATTAAAATGAATGAAACAAAATAAGTCCAAGTGACTTTTACCTTGAGAAGAGACCCATGTCCCCCAGTTTCACTTAACAATACCCAACTTCCCAATCCTCTAGCACTAAATACCTAGGAATACATATAAAACCTATCTGGACGTATGGAATCCAACTCTGGGGATGTGCGAGCAAGTCAGCCATAATTCAAAGATGCCAATCAAAAATACTCCAAACGATAGCTGATGCACCTTGGTATGCGTCAAATCTAACACTTCATGAAGACCTAAGAATCCCGTTCGTACAGGATGTAATCACTAAATACAGCCCGAAGCCCCATGAAGCACTGGAATCACATAGTAACCCCTTACTCCAACCTCTGCCAGAACACCAAGCCAATAAGAGACTCAAAAGGAACTGGCCAGCTGACCTAAAAAACGGTTTAAAGTGGTTTTGTCAGTGGAGAAGACCTCACCACGCCAATAGAAGCCCCTTGCTCCGCAGCCAGCAAATTAGCTTATAGAACTTTATTTGTGTTTTGATTGCTAAAGATTTGTGTCATATTAAAAAAAAACCTTTGCTCATTTGAATTGAATGCATTTTTTCCAAAATAAATCAAGACGGTTCGAAAAGTTTACCAAGTAGCAAATAACTGGCAAGAAATTCATTAAACGAAAATTTATGCCGTTAGATTATTTTTGAAATTAATGGAAAAAAGGGGACCAACGATTTTATCAGACAGACTCTTTCTTACAGTTTACCCCAACTGGAAAACACCGTATCTAAGTGGACAAAAATGTCAGCTGAAAAAAATGGAATAGACACAAAAAAACAAATAACAAACCATTCTCATCGATCTTCAGCTGTGTCAGCCTTGTTCAAGCAAGGTGTTTCTGAACAGGAGTTAATTAAATTAACGGGTCACTCAAATGCAAGCTCTCTAAAACCATATCTGCAGCTGGATTACAGTCACCACCAGAAGTTGATCGAAAATCTCAGAACAACAAATGAAGCTGGACCTTCGAGTTCCCAAATGCTACAGGTCAATAATACACAAAATCATGCTTTGGTAGAAAAGAATGGGCAAAACTATTATAGCTTATAATAATTGTACATTTAATATTGTTAACAAATAAAGATTATGTTTCATTGATATGGTGCATTAATTGTCTCGTCAAATAGTCTTGTCGAATATCATTCTAGAGAAAATTATTTACCGGCAAAATTTTCTCCTGGTTTTATTCAAGTTTGTTGCTTTTGGCAATTTTCGCTTATAAAATCACTCGACTGGCGTCAAGTGATGTAACTGTCAAAATTTCATTCACGAAAATTGCCAGGCAACAAACTTTCATACCAATTGAATATATTGCCGGCAAAATTTTCTCTCTTATGATATTATATACAAAATATATAGGTAAAGAAATAATAAATAAGACTCACAATCAATTTAATTTAACTATCAGACGCGACCGGTTTCGCTTTCTACAATATGCAAAGCATCTTCCAGGCCTCGATACAATGTTAAATAAATTCTGAAATGATAAAAACCCATATTAGGGTGTTGTCTAATAAAGATAAACAAAGTAGATGTTGTAAATTACAATAATTATGCCAATATTACATGCCTGTGGTTTTATCTCAAAATGAGTAAGTTGAATAAAAAGGTATAAAAAGTTTTAAAAAGTTTAAACAGACAAGTAAGGCCCACAAATTGTTATAAAATAGTCTATTAGAAATTAATAAATGAGCAAATAAATAAACATTACTTACATGCCGATACTCTATTAATTGATGGATGGTAGAACATGGTTGAAACTACTATGTATTGTTAAATGGAGAACTGTCAGTTTACTGTCAAACAACTACAATAGCAGAATTAGTTCTCCATTCAACAATACATAGTAGTTTCAACCATGTTCTACCATCCATCAATTAATAGAGTACCGGCATGTAAGTAATGTTTATTTATTTGCTCATTTATTAATTTATTACAATCTAATAGACTATTTTATAACAATTTGTGGGCCTTACCTTGTCTGTTTAAACTTACTTTTTATACCTTTTTATTCAACTTACTCATTTTGAAATAAAACCACAGACATGTAATATTGGCATAATTATTGTAATTTACAACATCTACTTTGTTTATCTTTATTAGACAACACCCTAATATGGGTTTTTATCATTTCAGCATTTATTTAACTTTGTATCGAGACCTGAAGATGCTTTGCATATTGTAGAAAGCGAAACCGGTCGTCTGATAGTTAAATTAAATTGATGTGAGTAAGTCTTATTTATTATTTCTTTACCTATTTGAAATGGAATCACACAAGGAACACATTCATGATACAAAAATTATGATAGATATACGTGAAAATAATGTGCCTAAGATTTGTGTAATAATCTTCATATGTGAATTTACGTGAACATTTAGGCAATTTCTAAGCACTTGGCTCGAAGACAAAAACACGTACACTTACCTGTTGCACTAGAGACTGTTTCGTCTTGCGAATCATCATCTATGCCTTTCAGAGGACTCGACGTACAAGATTCACTAATATCAAAATCGATATCCTCATCTTCTTCCGCTACAGTCTTTTTACTTTTCCTCGATTTACGGCACGTTAAAGAGTCTGCTTCGGCATCGATGTCATCATTATCGGTGGTCGTAGATGACACCTGCGCCTCATCTGTTACGTTGTTGCTTCTTCTTTTTCGTATCGTAACGTTCACAGCATGTGATGTTGCCTAAAGGACATAAATCGATGAAAATTAATGTTTTCTACATTTTCTTCACGAATAAATGATTATACGTACAACAATTACGTCATAGATAGATAAGCTAATACATTTTTAACAAATTAAGTCTATGAAACATAAGTCTTATGTTTCAACAAGCATCATTTGACCTCCATTGCGCTCGACAACGTATATAAAAATTATATTTTTAATTGAACTATGAACTGACTGCGCCAGTTGACAGTCTGTCAATTGTCAACTGTAAACAACTTGCATTTTCCGATGACAAGTAAGTGACAGATTGTGATTAAAAGTAATAAGTAAGATTTTTGGATACACTTACATTTGTCGGATCATGCGTGTGGCACACGAAACCCATCAAGTTGTCGTAACGAACGTTTCCTTCTGAATGCGACGGACAAAACGAATTCAAGCACTTGACACAACATCGGATGGTTCGTTTTGAGCAAACGTTGCAATAGTGCCACGGGCATACGAATTTTTTACCTGAAAATGCATTTAATTAATAGTCATAACTATAAAATAAACCAGCTGAGTTTAAAACTAATTCGAGTGTTAAGTGAAATTGTTACAGAGTGACATATATGAGTATCCAGACTTTGTTGTTCAATGCTAGACATAGATATTTCTTGATATGTCAATTTTGTGATGTTTTGTTGGTTTTCTCAGGTTTTTTTTTGGGTTTAGCGAACCATTAAACTATAATTTTTATTATATACTTACTATCTGGCCTTTCTTTAAGTTTTAAACATCTTAAATGATACGCCTTGTTACAAATTTTATTATTACACAAACTAACGCGACCTTTTCTTTGGCAAATGTAACAGGGTGGCAGTTCCATTGGTTTTTCAGGCTCTTTTTTCTTTTTTTCCTTCTTTGGTTTTCTCAGTTCGGTGGAATCCTGAAAATAGAAGACCGTTACGTTAATAGATACAGAATATAACAGATTAAGAGAGAGAACAATAACAAAGAGTCTATTGCAATTGATACTCCCTTAAAAACATTACAGATCGTCTTAAAACGCTTCTAGAGACCCTATAATAGTCCGTGACAATCCTGAAGTGATCCAGGACGTCTTTAAACATTCCATGATATACAAACATACCCTGCAGTATTCCAGATCACCCTTAGCATTCCACAGGGCACTTAAAATATTAAATAACGGTATTCAAAGCTTCCAGAACGTACTCCAGAACTTCTTAAAACATTCGTTGGCAATCTTAAAAAAATCTGCGACCCTGAAGCAATTCAGAGTTCCGGAATGTTTTAGACATTCTGAAGCAGTCCAGATTGCTCTGAAGCATTTCAAGGTTTCTAAAAGATTCTATGATGGCCCTAAAAACTACTATGCTGTCCTCGACTCGCCCAGAATTCTCTAAAATATTCAATGGCATAAAAATAAAACTTACTACCTAGAAGAATTTTAGAGTACTCTCTAAAACACAATAACAATCGCAGCGTATAAATACTCCAGAACTCAACTCAGACATTGCACGATAGTCCCAAACCAAAACATACCATCATGAAGTACTTCACAGCAGCCTAAAATTTTCCAAATTGCTCTCAAGCAATATAGTGGTTCAGTAAATATTTTTTAACGGACTTGAAAACTTCCAGACTGGAAACACAAGCTTGATATGCCTGAAAGTATCCCAAAAACGTTTCAGATTGTCCTAAAACGCTTTAAGTGCCGCTAAAATAGTCCGTGACAATCCTGAAGTGATCCAGGACGTCTCTAAACATTCCTTGACCAAACCTGCCTATCATGAAGTACTCCAGCGTAGTCGAAAATATTCCAGATTGGTCTCAAATAATTTAGTGATATTCTATGACGGTCGTGGAAGCTACCAGACTGGAAACACAAGCTTTTTAGCCTTTGTCACAGAAAACATTAGAGATTGTCCCAAAAGAACTTTAAAATCCAATAAAACATTCAAGAACAGTCCTGAAAGTTACTAAATTATCCTGAATTTCTCCAGAACCGCCTGTAAAATTTAATTATAGTCTCAGAAAAAAATTCGCTGCCTATAAATACTCCAGAGCCCACTCAAGACCCCAATTTTAAAATTTTATTTATATATGTATTAATGGATTTTATAATTCCACATTTCCTCCTGTACTTCCCATAAAATGCACAACTGAAAAAATTATTAGCCTGTCTTAGAGTAGAATAAAATAGTCTTTCTTTTAGTTGATGATAAATGAATGAATTGAAGTAACTTACGTTTTTGGCTTTAACACCGATGAATCCACTGCAATTAGGGGCTCCGCATTTGCAGACCTTCTTTTCAGTTCCGGTGCATTCTAAATTGTAGTTAAACGTTAATTCTGTATTGGCGGGAATGTCTCCGGTAGCGAACAACCCAACTCTGGTATTGCCGTTTACGGTCCATTTTTGTGTTTCACAATTGGGTTGGCAGCAGTGGTTCATGAATCGAGCGATGTTACCTAAAAAATTATAGTTTTTTAAATTGCTAGAGAACATTTTTTTGTCACAAAATATTGAAAAATCATTCCAAACCCGTTCACTTACCTTTAGGTCCAGCATCGATCATTCTATCCTTGTAAATAGTAAGAAAATAATAGTTCTCTTCCTTTTGCTCGTGCATCTTTTGGATCCTACGTTGGTACTCTTCGTCGTCTATCAGTTCTCCAACGTACTCTATCACGAATTGTCCCTTTTTGATCGGTTCTAACGTCTTGAGTCCCCAACCTCGGGTTTCTGTTCGGTAAGGAACTAACGTAGGATATTCCCGTTTTTCGAACGATTGATTTTTGCAGTGTTTGCCTGCGGGGCACACCTCAGGATGACATTCGGTGAGGAGTAACCTAGAAATAATATATTACAGATTAAATAATATGTACTTTTTTATAAATTTTATCTTCCTTCGATGTTCAAGATTGATTTTTTAAGCCACGGATCATCCGAGAAACGATTGAAATTGAGAAACGCCCCAATTGTTTCAGCAAAAAAGACTAATTTCCAAATTAGTGAACACAATTTCCTCTCTTACTGTCAGTCTTTCTTGCCCTAATATTCGGTGAAACTCAGCAACCCAAGGCCTTCACGCAAAACAACATAAAAGGGGCAAATCAAAAAGTACCAATAAGGGATTTACGAGAATGGGGGGCCATGGAGCCTGTCGAGGCATACTGCGGCATGGCATACCAGCCGGCATAATACGACGTCAAGAACTGTAGGTCCTTGAAGTTAAACGGGCAACCTAAGAGGTTGAGGCCGCAAATCCAACATAAGTGCCAAAGATGACTCCACAGAATTAATCGGAATCTCCACACAGCTTTCATTTAACTCAAAATTCGATTCACGATCTCAGAGGCAACTGAGATAAAAAAACGTCTCAATTGTCTCAACAAAAAACTAATTCCTTGATACAAACTCCGCTCCCACCGCTAATTTCCGATAAATCTCACCGTCCTACGCCTTCAGTGACCTTTACATATCCGTTATAGAGTAGTTTTCGTTAGGGAACGAATGGAATGAAGTGGTACTTACCTATTCAAGCAATTACTATCAGGTCCACAAGGATTGACCTGATGAGGATCACATTCGCAGGCTGTGGTGTTGCTTAGGTCTAATTCGGTCAACCTGACATTTCCTACAGGTTTACTAACTTTAATTTTTATATACGGAGGAGGCTTCATCGAAACTGCCGTTTCTGCAGCTTGTAATATTTTAAATTCTGTAACAGGAAAGATATTATTAATTTATATATTTTAAACCAAGAGTATTTGCCCATTTTGAGTATATTAAAGTCTGAAATAGAATGTATGTACATATACTTACGTTTCTTCATTTGATGAGCAACCACAGCTTCCTCTACAGCTCTCGTAAAAGCAGCTTGGAACTTTTTCTTGGTGTTTATACCGTTATCTATAGTATCACCCTCTTGGAACAAAAACGCCCTTCCCCTATTCATCCAATAATAGTCGTAGGTACCGAAAAACTTCACCACAAACTCCCCCGGATGATGCTTGGTGCTCTGCACTTTGGGGGGTATTTCGTTGGGGAATATAATGAGGCTCGGCCACCATTTGTAATTACCCAATTTGACCCAGACCACTTCGTCGTACAACGGTAGCCGGCCCGATTCGCAGTCTTCGCAAATGAATCTATCGTCGTCTGTTAAATTTACTGTCATACATTCCGGATGAACACTAAAACGAAATATCCATATATATCGGTAAATATTAGGAACAAAAGTTGTGTAAGGTATAGTATAGTTGCTGTAAGAAATATAGTAGTGTAGTAATGTTTTAACCCTTAAATATTAAAAGTAAAAAGGCTTACAATACAAGAATAAGTCAATATAGGAATTATTTATAATTGAAATTACATTGAACCTACAATGAACGAGCGACTGAAAAACACACATTTGTTTGTATAATTAAAAATATAAATACGAAGACGGTATTAGATTAGGCTTCAATCAATAATAATTAGTCATTGTAAGTAATATTATTAGTCAGATAGTCTTTCGCAAGTTCATGATACGATAGATAGATAGATTCGTTTATTGACAATTTTTACATAGTAAACACTACATGTCATGTCACAATATAAAAAAGTAACTTATGTATGAAATAACTAAGAAATAATACAAGAACAATAACATAACATATACAGTGAAAAATAGAAATATAAAAATAAAAAAAAAACAATTCAGTTAGGTATAAAATAGTTTTCATAAAAACGATCACATTGGGAGCTCAAACAAACAAATTCCTGTATATTATAGAAACAGTGTTCCATCAAGAAGTGTTTTTCAAATTTTTACAATTGTTTAGAATTCGTTGATGTTTAGAATTCTAGCAGTTGTTAGCAGCATTTTTTTTATATATAAAACTGCTGCTAACATATTATTATAAAAAATATTATTAAAAAAATGTCTTATTCTAATAAATGTTTCTCTCAGAATTTCAATCAGTAAAATTTCACTTTTCATTTTAAATTTTCCATGTATTTGTTACATTTTTCAGGCATCTATCAATGGTGAATAAATCTTCTTCTTTTTTGTTACTAAACAAAAAGAATTTTTTAAACAAAATTTTATTTTTGACAATATGTCAAAAATAAAAATTTTTAAGTTGGTATTTATGAAATTTGATTCTGATTTGTAGCTATTCAATTTTTGTTTACAAATTCAATTGTTTTTTGTTAAGAAACTTTATCAAAATTTATTTCAGAGAAACATTTATTAGAATAAGACATGTTTTTAATAATATTTTTTATAATAATATGTTAACAGCAGTTTTATATAAAAAACTAATTTTATTTGGTGAGTTAACAAAAAATTTTTTATTTCTAGTTCAAACTTTTTAAGATATTTTGTATTTTTTAGAAGCTCTTGATAATAATTGTAATCACAATTGAAAGCTCGAGTAAAAAGTCAACAAACAGCCCCTTTTATTGACTCCAACCCATCCAAAACAGATATCAAGAATAACAGAGGTCCCAAACTGAGGACCCTTAAGCTAGCGGGGACACATGAGCGGAATCCAATTTAACCTACGTAATATTTTTTCACCCATTTTTCACTAATTTATTACCACCCTAATAATTTTTCACCACCAAACCAACCTTAAGGGGAGCGATTCTGCTGGCTTAAGGTTCAAGCTAGCAGAATTCAAAAAAAAAAAACTTTTTGTTGATGGCATATTTTTTCACCCATTTTTCACTAATTTATTACCACTCTAATAATTTTTCACCACCAAACCACCCTTAATGGGAGCGATTCTGCTGGCTTAAGGTTCAAGCTAGCAGAATTCAAAAAAAAAAACTTTTTCTTGATAGCATATTTTTTCAACCCATTTTTCACTAATTTATTACCACCCTAATAATTTTTCACCACCAAACCAACGTTAAGGGGAGCGATTCTGCTGGCTTAAGGTTCAAGCTAGCAGAATTCAAAAAAAAAAACTTTTTGTTGATGGCATGTTTTTTCACCCATTTTTCACTAATTTATTACCACCTTAATATTTTTTCACCACCAAACCAACCTTAAGGGGAGCGATTCTGCTGGCTTAAGGTTCAAGCTAGCAGAATTCAAAAAAAAAACTTTTTGTTGATGGCATATTTTTTCACACCATTTTTCTCTAATTTATTACCACCCTAATAATTTTTCACCCACCAAACCAACGTTAAGGGGAGCGATTCTGCTGGCTTAAGGTTCAAGCTAGCAGAATTCAAAAAAAAAAACTGTTTGTTGATGGCATGTTTTTTCACCCATTTTTCACTAATTTATTACCATCATAATATTTTTTTTCACCATCAAACCACCCTTAAGGGGAGCGATTTTGCTGGCTTACGGTTCCAACTAGCAGAATTAAAATAAATATGTACGACATACCATAGTGTTTTGATAGGTTTTTACGAATTTCTCTTCCCTAGCAATTTTTCAACCCCTTAAACTACCCCTTGTGAAAAGTCAATAATTGTGATAGATTAAAATTAAAGGAGAATTTTTTTTTTTCAAATTTACTCTCCTCTACTTATAACTGAAATAAAAAAGTGTTTAGTTACGATTTTACTAAACTTTGACCATCCTGATAATTTTGCTCCCATAAACCTATTCGGAAACTTGTCTGCTAGCTCAATATTCGAACCAGCGAAATTAGAAAAAAACGTATTTTTGAAATATTATAGTATTCTATACCAACTTAGTAATTTTTTTATCCCTCGTCTAACCCTTGTTGGAAGTTAATAATTCTGCTATTGAAAAAGTATTGTTTTAATAATTTTACTCTTTTCTGTGGCAAATAGATTTTTGTCTACAATTCTACCATCTAAACATTTACGCTAGTTAAATACAAAGCAAATTTTTTCGGAAATATGAGATACGATAGTATTGTGCTAGATTTTGTACTAATATATTAGCATCCTAGTAATTTTTTACCCTTTAACTACCCTCCCAATCCGGAATCAATAATTCCGCTAGGTTAAAATTTAAGGTGATAAAAAATCTATTTCTATAATTTAACTGTATTCTACTTTTAACTGATTTTATAAATTGCTTGCCAGGTTTTTACTGAATTTGATACCACCCTTATAATTTTTGACCCCCTGAGCCTCAGTTAACGGGAAACATTCAAAAAGCTACACATTGAGGCTAGGTGAATAAAAAAACTTTTTTTGGAAACACAAGAGTGCTCTCTAGATTTTTACTATTATTTTTACCAACCTAGTCATGTTTTTCTCAACTACTCTAATTGAAAAACATTTTCAAATCTTATTCTATGCTAACAATTTTTTATTTTTTAGTGTTTTAAATATTGAAAATACTTTATTCCAAAAAACTATAAATTTGAACCCTTTATGAATATAAAATAACTGAAATCGAGTTGAGTTTTAGTCAATACAATGGAATTTTTATATTTCACAGAATAAATTACCAGGTAATTCAAACTAACATTCCAGGTATTACCAGGTAATAAACATTCAAAATAACATAACACACAAATTGAAATAATTTTATTACGTCTATTATATTATTTAACTAATTGAAAAGAAGGGTCGGGACCGTGCGTATCTATTGTTAAGAGATTAAAAGATTTGTATTCAGTAGGTACATGAAAATTTGAAAAATAATTTAGGTATTTAATATTATTCAAATAAGAAGAGTATTAACGATTGGTCAAAACATATTTTTAAGATTATGTGTACCTATAGCACAAAGAATTTATCTTGGAAAACATTTTAGGATATAAATATTTTAAGTAGGTATATTCAAATAAATCGGAAATTACCGGTTGGTCAGAACAGCTGTTATAGATTATTTGCGTAGTAAATTAAATTTAAATTAGCAGCATTTTAAAAATTCAAAGATATTTGTATTTTTTTAATTCTTTGTCGAATTTTCATTCATTGTCAGTTGAATATAACTAGAAATTAAAGGGTATTTCAAAAAATATTAACCTGTTTATTTTGTTTATGGAAATGTTTAGAAGAATCGACCAAGGAGAGATCTGGTTTCTCGGGACAGTTTCACATACTCATAAATTGGGTTTTTTCTAATGTTTAGGATAGTACTTACTCTGCATCTTTTTATTATTAATTTTTTATATTATTTATGAATTAATTTACGAATTAATTCTAACCTTCATACCGTCTTTTATGTGTTTTTTATTTAATATATTGTTTTAAAACTAAGTCTAACTTTCCACGGTACCATCGATTCATCTAGTGGTAATTCTTTTACTGGATAATACAGAGCAGTCATTTTATAATTAAAAAGTATATGACTGTTGTTATTCTATAAAACCGATCTACAGAAATAACATTAGGTCTCATTGGATTATGGATGAAGTGTAAGCACCCTAATATTTAAAGAACAAGATCTCTGCCAAAAAACTTAACATAACACTTTTTTATTTCAGTTATAAGTAGCGAAGAGTAACATTGTAAAAGAATATTTTTCACCTTAAAGTTTAACAGAATTATTGACTTCCCATAGGAGGCAGTTGAGGGGTGAATAATTGCTAGTGTGGAAATAAATTCGCAAAAACCTAGCAAAACACTGTGATATTAAAAAAAATAATTTTTTTCTGATTTTGCTGGTTTAAATATTGAGCTAGCAGGAACATTTTTAAATAAGATTAGTTTAGAAGTGCAAAATTATTAGAATGGTCAAAGTATAGTAAAAACTTAACAAACCACTTTTTTTATTTCAGTTATAAGTAGAAAAGAGGAAAAAAATTTCTTCGTAAATTTTAATCTAACACAATTATTGACTTTTCACAAGGGGTAGTTAAGGGGTGAAAAATTACTCGGGTTGTAATACATTTGTAAAAACCTAGCAGAACAATATGGTATATGGTATGGTATGGTAATAACCGTAAGCCAACAGAATCGCTCCCCTTAAGGGTGGTTTGATTCTGAACAAATATTAGGATTGTAATTATTTAGTGAAAAATGGGAGAAAAATATGTCATCAACAAAAAGTTTTTTTTTAATTTTACTAACTTGAACCTTACGCCACCAGAATCGCTCCCCTTACGGTTGGTTTGGTGGTGAAAAATTATTAGGGTGGTAATAAATAGTGAAAAATGGGTGAAAAAATATGCCATCAACAAAAAGTTTTTTTTTGAATTCTGCTAGCATGAACCTTAAGCCAGCAGAATCGCTCCCCTTAAGGTTGGTTTGGTGGTGAAAAATTATTAGGGTGGTCATAAATTAGTGAAAAAATGGGTGAAAAAATATGCCATCAACAAAAAGTTTTTTTTTTGAATTCTGCTAGCTTGAACCTTAAGCCAGCAGAATCGCTCCCCTTAAGGTTGGTTTGGTGGTGAAAAATTATTAGGGTGGTAATAAATTAGTGAAAAATGGGTGAAAAATATGCCATCAACAAAAAGTTTTTTTTCCAATTCTGCTAGCTTGAACCTTAAGCCAGCAGAATCGCTCCCCTTAAGGTTGGTTTGGTGGTGAAAAATTATTAGGTGGTAATAAATTAGTGAAAAATGGGTGAAAAAATATTACGTAGGTTAAAATGGATTCCGCTCATGTGTCCCCGCTAGCTTAAGGGTGCTCCAAAACTGATCCTTTTATGGATTTAAATATTAAAATTTTAAATTTAAAAGGTCGTGTATGGTAACCCTTATTCCATAGTACTCCAATTTTATCAATAGTGTTTGAATATCCACACAATCAAAAGCTTTTGTAAGGTCACATATTATTCCATTAGTAGATTCACCTGCATTAAGACCGTGAACAATATGTTCTATTACTTCTAATAAAGCTGTTGTGTATTTTTTTTCTAAAACCAAATTGAGAGCTAAATATAATTGATTTGTTATCCAAAATTGATTTGTTATTTTATGAATTCTACAATTTATAACTTAATTAAACCAGAACGAGTAAGTATTTGTTTCTTTGGGGATTAATTGCATAATTTTTAGAATTTTTTTTTGGCAATTGTTCTTTGATGGGGCAATTGCCAAAGAGACTAATATTTACTCGTTATTGTTTTATATAAATTAAAATTGCAGAATTCATAACATAATATAATCAAAAAATGTACTTTTTAAAAGCTTTCTCTCTTTATATTTGAAGCATACAACATGCGAACACTGCCAAACCGAAAATTTTTTGCTATGGTTGACATTTGCGGCTATATTCACTTCGAACTTTTGTTAAATAAAGTTAACTCTATTAGTGAACTTTGACAACATTTTTAAATAAACAATAACAACCAATCGCTGCACTATACGTTAAAGTAGAACTACCAAAACCTACAAATCTGAGCTTTTCTCAAATATTTCTTACCGCAACCATACATTCCGACAACCTTGCAGCGTTGTCAACTATTTCATTCGAATATTTGACAGTATAAAAACCTAAAAATATATATTTCCTTCTTCCTTTTTAGACGATACCAAAAGTGGCTTACCTGGTTGGGCACGTTTCGCAGCAGATCAGGTTTCCCCCCTCGTTACACAAAAGACACCACGTCGTGTTTATGGTGTACGGCTTAGTTCTGTACCTGTGTCTCGGACAAACTATTTGGGTGGTACTTACAATCGCCGTACCGGCGGGAATGCAAAAGTTGGTCGAATGGTAGCTAGCCGGACAACACAGACATTTGACGATTTTATCCCAGGGACACCTGGAAAACATACACAACATTAAACACTTTATACTGCGACTTTAATGACAAAAATTATCAAAGTATATCTGCGATAAATTTTACAAATATTTTAACGACCATCGATATTAAAAGTGTCGTCCTTGAGTTGTAAACAACTTATTTGAGGTTATGTACATGGGTCTTCTCAGAGCCTGCTTTCGGTAGTGACGTATTGTGTTTTACACAATGACGTATAATATATAGACTACGCAGTCCCCTATTCTCGCTATAGAATCGAGTGTCCGAAAGATCTCGGCTCAAGGTTGAAGGTATGTTTATCAGAACAGCGGCGTGCTCATTTATATGTTAATGACAATAATTATTTTTTTAATTAAAATTAAATATTTATGATTTCTTTTTGTTCCCGTCCTATAAGAGAAATAATTATTTTGATAAAATAGTATGGCATTTTACTAAAATAGTAAGTAAATAACTCTCAACAATTTAAAATAAAATTTGCTTGTCACACAAAATGGAGAAAATGTTTTCATACGTCCATGATGTTTTCAAACACAAGATCAACTTCGTGATGCTTCGTAAGAAATCATGAACTTCGTGCATCTTCGTATCAAAACAATAAACAATAACAAAGGTAATCATGTTGTGGACACTTTTTAAAGCGTTCACCGGGTCTATATATTATACGTCATTGGTTTTACACATGTCGAAGTTCATTGCGAGTAATTTAATACTAATCTGACGCTGCTAGTATTGTATTAACCTTGCAGGGGTTCCCAAACAGGGGGGGCGCCCCCTGTGGAGCGTGAGATGATGTCATTGAAATCGAATGCTTGAAAGAATAGAATATGAGCCGTTCGATGTGGCAATAGCGCGCATTTGACAACCGATCGTTTCCAAGTACTGCCTCCCTCCTTCCCGCCATCCTGCAGACGCAGTCCAGCTAACCGGAGCAAGTCAACTGTGACTCATGGTACAATAAACTCTCATGGTAGAATCTTGCGCATGACATTTGACACTTTTGACAGCTGAGGTCAAGCGGGTGTGACGTAGCAAAGGTCCCTGTAAGCCATTATTTGTAATTGTATTACTATATTGTGTAGTGGATTTTTTTGCAAAACTCGTATTGTTCATGCGTTGTTTTTAGCGATATTATTCTTTTTTTGGATAGTATATATGTGTTATAGTCTGTATAGACTGATTTAAGAACATTTACTCGTTTATTTGCTTTCGTGTATCTGTTTGTTTTTGTGAAATTTTGTAACTATTTCAAAATGCGCTGTGCAGTTGCAACTTGTAATAGTAACAATAAAGATAAAACCTTAAGGTTTCATACGTTTCCTAAAGATAGTGTGGTCAGGAAACTGTGGATAATATCCTGTTGTAGAAAGGATTTTTTGTCAGTTAATCTTAAGAACCAGTTTCATACTGGTCAACATGCTTTCCTGCCTGGATTGTTTTACTTATACTAATCTACTAGTTTACACTGATTACATTGCATTGGAATACATTTATACTGACTTGTCTAAATCATTTGAGAGGGTAGATCATTGCATTTTCTTGCATAAACTGGATTTTTTGGAGTGTCTTGACAAACTTCCTTACTGGTTGAAAACTTGACTGATCTTTGTGTGTCAAACTGAAGGATTTTACTTGAATGATTAACTGAATACTTTCCTCTGGAGTGGTCCAAAATGCCAACTTGGTACCTACCTCTTATCTTTGAAGTTTTTGTTGATGCTGCTATCACATCATTGAGTGACTAAAGTCTAGCATATGCACATGACATAAAATTATTTCGTATTATTCTAGACCATTCTGATTGTATTGGGTTACAGAAATTATTGGGCAGTTTTGCGAATTGGCGTGTTATTATCAAATTAACTAATTGTAAAAAATTTCAGGTGATCCTTGTGTATTGATCTCATGAGCCGATAGTATTTAATTATAATTAAAATAATAAATTAATGTAATATGTAATAAAGTTCCTTTAAAAATTTATTTTTTATTTCCCAAAATACTTTAATACAAGTAAGTCCACCAGACATCCAATGAAGGTTCAATTATCATCAGTGGGTGTTTAGCAGCGTGACATTTGGACCAAACTAGGATGTGCTTAGTACTAACACGAACTTCTGTTGGATCTGTTAACTACTTCTTGTGTCCGTTGGACCCACTACTGTCATTAGGAAAACCCAAAGATCTAACAGCTGCAACATATACTTTTAAAGGAGTAAAAGAGTTCACATATCTAGGCTCAAATCAACCAAAGTAATACAGTAACTGCAGAAATTAACAGACATATATATCTAGCAAATAGAACGTACTATGGATTAAAGAAACTTAACGTCAAACAGTCACAAAAAGAACGAAAATATTGATATGTATATAGAACTCTAATCAAGTTGGTCAGAAACGTGGATGATGACAAAAAGTGATGAAGAACGTTTGGGTTGTTTTGAATGTATAAATGGGACATTTATAAAGGCGTGCAGGGAAACGGATTATGACATAGACGCTACAATTTTGAGCCTAATATTGGTAGGTCTATAAAAATGAACATGCGGTGGCTAGGCCACTAAGAGAGAATGAAATTGTAGTGATATGTATTCCATTTTGTAGATTAGCGAAGACCCAAAACTCTTTATATAAACAGTTATCTTTTAAACGTAGTGTTAAAAGCTTCTTGATTCACCACAGTTTCTATTATATTGATGAATTCTATCTCATCTACAACCACTTGCAGATGCTAAATTTATTCTTATGTTATTGAGTGTTTAACGAATATACTAATGTATATATTTACATAAATAAATCTATCTAACTAGTTTTTAATTTCCTACTACCGTATATTTAAACAACACCAAGATAATTTTATGTGTGAAAATTATAAAAGATTTCATATAAAACATTGTGTTGTATAACATATTGCGTGACCTCGCTGCGCTCATATTCGATGGCCTATTATCCGATCTAAATAATGTTTACTTTATAATTATTTATTTCGATTTTGTGTTTAGTTCATTATATACTACAAATTTTGATTACCTAAATTACAAAGTGATCATTAACAAATTAAGAAGTGGGATACACTGTACTTATATTTGAAAATAATTTAATTTTTTTTTGTATCTTTTTAAACAACTGAAATATGGAACTCTAGAGTAGCAGTTGTTCAACCTGTATGTATAATAAACATAATTAAAACGTGTTTTATAAAGAATACCTATGTTAACAAAATAAAATAACAGTTTCAGAACCTCGCTAAAATATCTGTACCCAAAAATCAATAAAATTAAATTAGATACAACTTATTTTTTATGATTAAATATTATAAAAACACAACTTTATCATTTCCTTATAAGTACTATAAATAAATTAGCCAAATTATATTAAAAATTTAAAATTAAAAGTCTTTCCTATACAACTGCATTCAAATTTGCGCGAAGAGGGGATCTTGACTACGTCGTGCGCGAAGCGAACCGATTTTGGAACATTATGTGCCATACCATGTGAATTTTATTGTACCATGGATTGTGACTCGGTGTTTGAGATACCTCTGCCTAGCCTGCACGTGTTTTTGCGTTATAAAAGCGTAAAAGTGTTGTGAAATTTTAATTGTCGTAGTTGACTTTCATTGATTTCGTTGATTTGAGTGAGAGAAGTTATTATAGTCATGATAAGCTCAGCAAAGAACGCAAGTATAATGATGATTGTATGTTAAATATGGGTTTTTTGTATGCGTGTTTGTTAAAGGACATGTAGAACGAAGCTATTCAGTAGTGTATTTTTTATCGCAATCTAGTACACTTAGTAGAAAGAAACGGCGCACTGAAAAAAGGCTGTGAGAAAAACTATACATACTGTAGGTCTACACTATCCATACAAGAAGACAATTAAAATAAAATACATAAAACTTACCTAGAAATGGCAGCACGAGGATCATCCGAAGCGCACGTGTGGCAGACGTGTTGCGGACACACAAAACTATCCTGCTCCTCTTGCGAAAACCGGTTTTTCGTAGTCTGTATCAACGACCACTGCGTTTGGGGCCACAACTTTAAACAATCCGGATGGTAGAAGCGCGGGCACGGATGCAGCGAACATTTCTGTCTCATCAAACCGCCTTTCTTCGATATCATCTCGTTGCAAATAAAACAGTAAGGATCGATGTCCTCCACGCAAAAGCCGCACTTGAACGTTTTCGAGTCTAGAACTATCTCACTGTCGGCGGTAACATGTTTTGCGAAGGGGTTTCTGAAGCCGTTTACACGATGAGAAGAATCTTTGCTGTGAGTTATTGATCTACAATCTGCTGTTACATGTTTTGTTGGAGCTTTATGCTTGCTAGTAAGTTTATGATCTTTGGTATAGTCGACGTCTGCATTTATTGATTCTTCTCTTACATCCTGACCATTACTCGATTGTGGTTCTTCAGCCCGATTGTTATCCAAAGGTTTTACTGGCAGGGAAGGTTTATTTACATCATTCTCAGGTGTCGTTTTCATTACAGGAGAGCTGATAGCTCTTTCGTCACTCGACGACTCACTCAATATATCTAGATACGCTGTCGTCTCGAACTTTCCCATAATTTCCTTCATTTTAAAATCGATCCTATCCGCCAGGGACATATTCACAAAATCTGGCGGGAAGGTCTTTTTAGGCGGGCTCTCGTATCGGAAAGACGGCACCGTTACTATCTGAACGTGAGTTTCGTCAACTTCGGACGTTTCGGAAGCTTTTACTGGCGGAGCTTCCGCCGGCTCTTCTACGACTCCTGGGGAAGTGGCTAAAACATCGAAATGTGATATTAACACTACTAGGCCAATAAGTTAATAAAAATAAAGCTTTTTTCGTCACAACTGTATACAGGGTGATTGTTTAGTGTGAGGAAGCTCAGTAGATCTGTTATAGTAAAAATTACAAAAAAAGTTATTGACAAAAATTGTAGGCAGCTTTAAACTCCACATTTTAAAATTAGTTACAATCTTACAGGGTGTTCCATAAGATAGTGGCAGACCAAACTTATGTTTTTTTTTAAACGGAATACCCTGTATTTTATTTTAAATTTGAAATCTGCTTCACTTCCATATCACAACAATGTAAAGTTTTATTATGTTATATCGGGTATTTAAAAAGTTATAACCAATATTACCTGAAAATAGTATCAAGTCGTAACTCCCTGTATAATAAAAAGGAGTATAGAAACATTGATCTATTGCAACCATAGTTTTTTAATAATTGTTAAAAATTATACAACATATTCGTTTTCGTAATATTCGTTAAATCAAATACAAAATGTAAGTACATTATTTTCTTGGTAATTTTAAATAGAACACCCTGTATTTTATATCAATATCGAAATGTACTAATATCATACTTCAAATTTTATGAAGTGCTCCCTATGCCTAAAGTTATCAGTTTTCTAGATATTTTTATTTTTCCATCAAAGTTTAATTTGGTAGATATTTTAACGTTTACCAATAATTATTGTGAATTGGCCATGATTGATTTGTCAGAAACTGACAGTCTGACAGATGGTGGTCGGAGAATATGCAAACGTTAGTAAACAAGAAGAAAACTGCTTATTAAAAATGGATGTCAACGAGAAAGGAGGAAGATTACAAGAGATATAAAAAATTAAAGCGAGATGTAAAAAGACAAGTAGTGAAAAGTAAAAATGAGATGTGGGATCGAAGATGTGCAGAGGTGGATATGTATATGGATGGAACAAGAGTTGGGCAAGCTTGGAAGATGATAAAGTCTCTCCGAGGAAGGAAAGGAAATATCCAACTTATAGTTACTAGATCTGAAACAGTGGAAACACCATTATGAGGTCTTGCTGACAGAGGATAGATGTAAATTCCAAGAGATCGAAATGGAAGAAATATCCGAGCATACACAAATAATTGAGATAACAACCATAGAGTTAAACGATGCCCTCAAAAGATCGAAAAACAGTAAAGCAGCAGGACCTGGAGACATCCCAATTGAGTTGGTAAAGTATGGACCAAAAATATTACATGAGATATTGGTTCAATTATTTAACAAATGCTTAAAAGGACAAAATATCCCTGATGATTGGAATGTTTGATACATCAGTCAATATTCAAGAAAGGGATATACGTAAATGCTCTAATTATAGGGGAATAACTGTTATCAGCTCAGTGGGGAGGTTGTACAGTCGAATAATAAAAGAAAGAATATAATCAGAATACAAAGACATAGAAGAACAAAATGGATTACGTACATGAAGATCGTGCACTGATGGTATATTCGTTCTGCAGAAGGTATCAAAAAACGGAAGGCAAGGAATCTATCTACCCCACTATTGTTTGTAGATTTAGAGAAGGCATACGATTCGGTACCTTTGAAAAAACTGTTTCAAACATTGACGAAAGTAGGTCTCAGTAGAGAGTATGTGGATGCTATCGCAATTATATACAAAAATGCAAGAAGTGTCGTTAAAGAAGGAAACTCTACATCTGAATTGAATCCTTTCCAATAACAAAAGGGCTTAAACAAGGATGTTGTCTATCTCCGACCTTATTTAAAATATATATTCAATCATCGCTAGAGCAGTGGAGGAAACAAGTATCCGGAATGGGAATAGACATAGGCGGAGGTCTAACAACTTTATTTTTCGCAGATGATCAGGTAATCGTAGCGAATGATGAGGAAGACATGGATTACATGTTTAGAAAACTAAAGAAAGAATATGAAAAATGGGTCCTCAATATGAATATGTCAAAGACAGAGTATCTTAAAATAGAAGATGATGAAGAAGATTCAGAGTTAGAAATTAGAAACACAAAAACATGCAATGAATATAAATATCTTGGATCTATAATATCTAAAGAAGGCAGTACCAAGAGACATCGAAAACAGGACGCAGCAGGGAAAAAAGCGGTTAACATTCTAAACTCTCTACTATGGTCTAAAGATGTTAGACAAGAAACAAAATTGATAATCTATCGAACCTTGGTAGAGCCTATTATGACCTATGGGGCAGAAGTTTGCCAGATCACTAAAAAAGATAGAAAAAGAATAGAAGTAGTAGAAATGGATTTTCTAAGGAGAGCGTGTGGCGTATCCAAAAAGATCATATCAGAAATGAGAGATTAGAAGGAGGACAAATACTGTATATTCCAGTGTAGACAGAATTGAAACGAGACAACTAGTGTGGTATGGTCACGTGAAGCGAATGAATGAAGATAGATGGCCAAAGAAAGCTTTAAATTACATACCAATACAAAGAAGAAGGGGAAGGCCTTCAGTTGCCTGGGAAGAAAATGTACGGCACATAATGACAGATAGAGCCATCAAAGAAGACGAATGTATGGACAGAAAACGACGGCGGTCAAAATGCGAGAGGCGGCAGAGGCTGTAGGAACCTCGCTTATATAAATACTTATGATGCACACGTGCATCATACCATTTGTTTATGAAAATTTACAGTAATATTGTACATTTGAGTCAAAAACTTACCAGTTGGGCTACTAGATTCAACAGCTTCAGGTCGAACATTTTCGACCTTAGCGGTACTTTCGGCCTTGACTGGGGACGTTCTAAACTTCCTTCTTTTAGGGTACTTTTCCACGAGTACTTGACTCGCGCATATCGATGGTAGAGTCCATTACAGCCACCCTTACATCTGAGCAGATCCCCTGATTCGAAACAGTAATGACATACTTTTTCCCTGGGTACACCTTTGAAGAGGTTGTTTCTTTTATATAATGCTTTTTGTTCGTCGATGGAGTAGGAACCGAAGTGACGTTGAGTGTTGGCATTAAGCTTTTGTTCTATACTATCGTCTTTGTTAATTTCGTCGTCATCGTTGGATTCTTCCTTTTTCGGCATCGTTAGCGGATAAGATGCTTCTGAAGACAGCTCTGAGGAATCTTTTACCAATTTTTTTCTAGGCAATTTCTGTTTGTTAGTCGGCGGTGAGTCGATTTCAAGTTTAATTTTTTTCTGCACGTGAACAATCTCCTCCTGATCATCTAGAGACTTTTTCCCTTTACTCAATTTCTTTTGAGAACTTTCTTCTATACTAAAACTCGTTTTATCGGACTTTATATCATCATCTGTGGTAGATTCTTCATCTGATAAAACATTGGTTAATTCCAAAAATCTAGTAATTTGTTTGAAGTCAAAACCGCTCGCCTTGACATACTCTAGCTCATCTACCGCAGCTGTCCATCTTTTTATTAGACTAGACCGCACAAAACATGCTTTAACTTCGGCAAATGCTTTAAACTATAATACAAAAAACGTATCAATCACATAAACTAGCAAATCACATGAAAAAAGTTCAGACAAAAAAAAATGATTTAGTGAGAAGGACTAAAGTACATTCATTCAGCAAATTCCCAACTGTAAACAAACGTACGTGTTCATATTCGTCCTCTCATTCGTCAATAGGCTATTAAATATAATTTATTGTCTTAAACCAGACGGATTCTCATTTTACAGGTCCAAACTTATCAGTCTGTTTAAATTCAAAGTGTAGCGTGTTGGTTTTTAAGTTAATATATTGTGTGTTATATGTTATAGTTATTTACTGGTCGTGTTATTTTAGAGTTTAGTTTAAGTGTTTAGTATTACGTTTTATAGTGTGTAGTTGTAGATCTAGAGTGCGGATAGGTAACAAGCTCTCAGAGTCGTTTGAAATAAACAGTGGACTGAAACAGGGAGGACGCGCTGTCACCTCTTCTTTTTAATATAATCCTGGAAAAAGTAGTAAGAACCGCACAAATTAGAACAGAACTACTGACAGTAAATGGACCAAAATTACTACTAGCATACGCGGATGACATTGACATTGTAGAAATACCGTTACCAATGTAAAAGAAACCTTCAATAAATTAGAGAGGCAAAAAATACCGGTCTAAGGGTCAATGAAGAGAAAACCAAATATATGTGCAATAACAGACAAAAGAGACGAGATAGAATAGGACAAAATGTAACAATAGAACCCCTATAACTTTGAAAGAGTGGAGAGTTTTAAATATCTCGGAGCGACTATCACCACAGATAACGATATACACGGAAGATATAAAAGGGAGAATTCAGGCAGCAAACAGATGTATGTATAGCCTCCACAACACTATTAAATCCAAGAGCCTAACACGAACATCAAAAATCAGGATATATAAAACAGTAATTAGACCGGTGCTCATGTATGGGTGTGGGACGTGGACGCTGACAAAAGCAATGGAAAATAAAACTCAGATGCTTTGAGAGAAAAATCCTCAGAAAGATCTTCGGTCCCTATCATGATCCGAATACTAACCAATACCGAATGAGAACAAATGCCGAGGTCAAACAAATGTATAATGCTAGCGACGTAGTCCAAGAGATTAAATCCCAACGTCTAAGATGGGCTGGACATGTTCATAGGCTCCCTAATAACCGCCTTACCAAGTTAATCTGGGAAGAAGTCCCGACAGGGAGAAGGCCCTTAGGACGTCCACGAATGGGATGGAGAGATAATATATGGTCAGATTTGAGAACAATGGGGCTACCCACTGACTTAAACATCATGGACGACCGTTCGAGATGGAAGCAGGTTGTGTAGTCAGCCAAGACCCACCCCGGGTTGTAGTGCTACCAGAAGAAGAAGCAGAAGTGTGTAGTGAACTTTTAGTATCCAAAATCAAAGTATTTGTTAATCAAAAGTAAAAATAGCTTGCGGTAATCACTTTAATAAAGGTAAGAGAAACCAATATATTAATTTATTGATGTTTGGGAAAGTTTTATTTCCTTTTTAGTCCATTTATTTACGGTTTTTGCTGTAAATATTAAAGAACCGCTTGGATTGACAGGAAATTTGGCATATACATAGCTAACGGTTAAGAAAAAAAGTAATATTGTGCCGATGTGTGCTTTTGCCATGGGGTGAGTTTCACCCCTTCTCGGGTGTAAAAAAACATGCGTTCAAAATAAGTCCAGAATTGAATAAACTGACTAATTCTAAGCAACTTTTATTTTATACAGTTTTTGCACAAAGTCAATACTTATTGAGTTATTTGTGAGTGAATATGATCATTTTTCAATAAAAAAACCACGTTTTTACGGTTTTCCGCAAATAGCTCAAAAAGTAAGTATTTTATCCAAAAACATATCTTAGTAGAAATATAGCTTATAGAAAAGTTAAAAAAAAATGATGTACTTATACCTATATGAAGTCTGTAGACTCAGTAAAAGCAGAGTTGTAGCTAATGCAAAGTAATTCAAATTTCAAATCGAATATTTCAACAAGAAATATCAAAAAAATTAAGCACTTTTCGGGGAAAACTCGCTGCCGGGGAAAGTGCTTGTTTTTTTTTATTCTTTCACATTGAAATATTTGATTTGGAATTTGACGAATAAGAACCTACTTTTCAGTAGCTACTTTGTACGTACACCATTTTTTTTGCTATTTTATAAGCTATATTTTTGCTAAGAATATTTTTTTTGATAAAATACTTACTTTTTGAGTTATTTGCAAAAACCGTCTAAAATCCTTGTTTTTTTGTTGTTGAAAAATGAACATATTCACTCGCAAATAACTCGAAAAGTATTGACTCAGTGAAAAAACTCTATAGAACAAAGGTTGCTTAGAATTAGTCAGTTTATCTAATTCCTGACTTATTTTGAAAGTATGTTTTTTCACCCCTGAGAATGGGTGAAACTCACCCCTTTTTTATTTAACATGTTAGCTATATGTACACCAAATATCAGTCCAAGCTGTTCTTTGTGGTTTTGCTGGCTATCATTAAGGAACATAAGGGAAAATATAAATTATATCATTGATGAGATGGCAAAAAGCCAACAAAAAATAGTGTTAAGTCTGCCCCCATACCATTGTGAGCTCAATCCGATTGAGCTCATCTGTGCAGAAGCAAAAAAAATATGTGGCAGCAAAAACACTACTTCTAAATTTGCAGATATGAAAAATATTTTTTATGATGCAATAAATACTATTAGTCCAACTACGTGGCAAAAATGTGTACAACACGTTTAACAAAAAGTCGAGTCCAAAATGTGGAAGTTGGACGATATAATAGAGAACCATATCGAACCCATAATAATAAATCCAGACGGTGCTGTCTTCGTAGCTCCTCAGACACTGAGTAATTTAAATGGCATGTTTAAGGCTTTGATAAACTTATGACAATGCTACTTTATTCAAAATGTTCACTTTGTTATGTATCTGTCAGTTAATGAATATTTTATTTTAGCACATTTTTCTTCAATAGAACATTAAATTTTGATGACAATGATTAAATTTCAAGAAATTCTTACACTAATAGTTTCAAAAGTAAATATTTTTTAAAAATCATATGATACACCTCAGTACGACCCTGTTTGGCTTTCACGCGCGTTTGTTTACAGTTGGGAATTTGTAAAATGAATGTAGTTTAATTGATAGAGGAGTGGTGAGTCATCGTTTTATGGATATCGATGAATTTTTGATAGAGAATCGGGAATTCCTCCACATATTTGACAATGAGGTGAATTAATTTTGATTTCTCACCCACATTGGCAATGAAGAATATGAAAAAAGTATCATTTACTCTTCCTGATGGATTATACTGATAATAGTGTAAACAGAGACTAACACTGGCACAATACGAAGAAGAATTTCTCTTTCTAGTCCTCCTCGTTGATTATACTGGTCATAAAAGTTCTCCTTATCGTTTATATATTTATTTTGTAACTCGTTTTAGTCTTCCTCAATGATTATACTGACCAGAGAAAAAGTTCACTAAAATTCACTCCCTGATAGAAATAATTTCTTCTAGCTTTACCATGTGATTAAGCTGACACAATAACGTGAAGAACTTCTTCATCTAGTTCTACTTAATGATCATATTGACCACAAAAAAAGTTTTCTTCATCGATCACATATTTATTTTGAGAAACTAAAATTGACTCACTGATACTGATTTCTTCTTCAAGCTCTACTCAGTGATTAAACTGACCACAGAAAAAGTCCTCCTCGCTGATTACCTATTTAATTTGAGGAGAGGCCAAGAACTGACTCAGTAACATGAAGAACTTCTTCCTCTAGTTCTCCTTATTGATTATATTGACCACAGAAAAAGTCCTCTTCATTGATCTCATGTTTATTATACTTATAATAGTGAAATTTTGAGGGAGGTAATAAACAGACGTAGGTTTCTTAACTAGTCATAACAAGTGAAGTGACTTAATAGTGACAGATGACGTTACAGCGCCACTGTGACAGATAATTTTAAATAGGACCTTATGGCAAGTAATACCTCGTTTGAAAGGTATTGAAAATACCTATTCATCCATACTAATTTTATTTGAGTTTAAGCTCATTTTGATGAATAAATTAAATAAATACTAAAATTGTAGCTTCGCATTTAATTAATAAATATTAAAACCTCCGCCTCTGGTTTCCTGTCAAAAATTTGACGGTTTTCAATGAACAGCCGGAGTGTGATGTTACGGCGGCCATATTGTTATTGTTATTATTACTTTCCAAACAAAAGTTGAAAAGCCAGGGTTTAACCAATCTCAAGATTTCTATAAAGTTAAAATTTGCTTCCTCTGCTGCATTTTTCTTCTTAAGTATAGTGTATTTTACGATATCACCATCTTAATTCGGTGTTATATTTCAATGAAATATAATTAAAAAGTTTAAATTAAAAAAATTCTAACCTTTCTTTACTGATACATGCATTGTATTGCTATTTTTATAAAACAACATGCTTTATTATTTACACAACCTTGTAAAATTGTTGTAGTCACTATTAGAATACTTAGATATTGCAAAAGCGGAAAGATTCTGTAAAAAAAATGAAAAAATAACGAAAAATATAAATTATACCAAACAAGATTTGTTTGAAAAGTGAAACTGACAGATGTCAATAAAAATACGTCATCACTCTGGCAATCAACCAGAGGCGGAGGTTTTAATATTTATTAATTAAATGTGAAACTAGAATTATTTTAATAAACCTATTCAATCCTACTAATTTTGTTTGGATTTAAGATGATTTTAACGAATCAATTAAATAAATATTAAAATTGTAGTTTCGCATTTAATTAATACAAATTTTAACGTCCTCCTTTGGTTATTTGCCAAAAAAGTTGAGGTTTGTCAATTCTCTATTTGTCTTTAGTTGGCAAAAGCGTTTATAGCTCAATATTTAATTTCTGCTTCTGCTTAGTTTAGTCAATTCAAGTTTGGTCAAGTTGTTTTTAGTTAGTTGTTCTTAGTTAATATTTAGTTTATTTATTGTTTAACGAGACGTTTAAATTTTTACAAAGGCAGAATGGTACGTACTGTAGCTGACAAAGTAACAGCTGTGTTAATAATTGGTGAATGTGGAAATAATTTCCATGCAGCGTAACGTCTTTTGAATGAAAGATACCTCGATCGCTCTACATCAAGAGCTTATTTGAGGAAGCTTCTTCGGAAGTTTAAACAAACAGGTAGTATTCAAAATATCAAACGATCTAGTCGACCAACAATTAGTGATGACAAAAAAGTTGACATAAATTCAGAAATGGTAGTGAACCCTACTTCTACAGCAAAAGTGGCATTTATCTATGGAATCAGTCAAAAGACAGTACACCGAGTGTTAACTGAAAAAAAAAATCATCCATACAAATTAAAAATTGTGCAACTTTCAGATGATGACCCCCACCGAAGACTAGAATTCTGTGAAAATGTGTCCAATAAAATTAACGGACAGACCGATTACATAAAAACAATTTGTTTTAGTGACGAAAGTACTTTTTCCCTCAATGGAAATGTTATGAAATGTCATGTTTCCCTCAATGAAATGTCACCGGACCTCACACCATTGGACTTTTTTCTGTGGGGATATTTGAAATCTAAAGTTTGGCACCTGACAATATGACATTTTGAAAAAAACGAATTGTTGACGAATGTAGGGCAATTTCCTCCGACACATTTGAACGAGTACAGTAAGAGTTTAGAAATACAATTCATTACTGCCAAGAAGTAGATGGAGCACATTTTGAACACTTACTATAGGAACTGGTTGTTAAATGTTTATTAATTTTTAATATTAATATTAAACGAGGTGTCATTTGCATAAGGTCCCATTTAAAATCTGTCACAGTGGCGCTGTAACGTCATCTGTCACGATTACGTCACCTGTTATGACTAGTTGAGAACCCTACGTCTGTTTATTACCTCCCACCAAATTTCACTATTATAACAATAACCGTTCAAAAGATACGAGGATGAGAGGAACGGACTTTTGACTAGCACTGTCCTTTTTAGAGAATATTGAAATTCAAACAATAAGTCAAATCAAACTACGAAATGTGGATTAATAATTTTAAAGAAAAATATTACTTACTTCTTGTAAAGTATTGTAGAGTTTCTCTAAATCATCTTTACTTTTATATATCATTAGTTTTTTGTTATATATCCAGGCGCTTCGTCCTTTATCTCCGAAAAAGTTAACATGATACACTGTTCTTTCGCTGAGGCCCTTCTTTGCTAGAAAATGACACAAAGACTAAATTATTTATACTAGAAACAACAGGATTGTTATACATTATATCTGCTGGTTCTTACACATATATTATTCTCGAATTTTTTTATGTTAGGTTCCATTTTTACTCGGATAGTAAAAGATTGTGGCATAACTGTGTGGCATTATCAACAGCAAAAGCAAAGTACATTTCAGCAGCATAAACAACTGAAGATTTAATCAATGTCAAGAGTATATTGGGCAATTTCAATTTAATTGTCAAGACAATTTTATATTGTGATAATAAAAGTAAGATTTTAATGTCAAATAGTAATGAAAATTCTAAAACAGCAAAACATATAGATATAAAAAATCATTTTTTATAGAACTTAATTTTTATGAAAGAAGTTGTAATGGATTATATATGAACTAAGCAAAATTTGGCTGATTTTTGACTAAATCTTTAGGTACTGAGACTCTCATGAATCTTAGAAATAAAATTTATGTTATGTAAATGTTTGTTATTTGTAATCGAGGAGTATTGTTACTTTGTACTTGACAACACTGTTTCACAATGTCAGTAGTGATTCAGGTTGTCAACTGTCACTTGTAAACTTATTTTAACAATATAGTACATGCTTAGTTTTAATTGTTAATGTAGAATACAGTATTTAAATATATAATTGCAAACTCTTAATTACCATAATTGGCAGGAGCGTGCGGTGTATGGCAGCAAGGGAAGCATTGCTTCCCTAGGTTTCCGCAGTAATAGCGTACTAGCTGAATAACAGAATATTTAACAAAAAAAAATTTAAACCAACACACATATAAGCAGCCTTTTAATGATCTAGAATAGTTTTTTTAAAGGTTTCTTGCAACTGTGTCAGATATTTTATTACCTTCAGGCTTTTGTTTTAGTTATAATGGGAAATATTGAAGAACAAATACAAAAAAAAATATTTTTATCAAAATAACTTACCAATCTTCGTAAACGATCCAGACTCTGGCTCGTTCGAAACAAAGCTTGGCCAATACGGATAATTACTGAATTGGGCCCAAACGAAATCCCCAACTGAGGCAAAAATGGTTCTAAAATGTAAAAATTTAGCAAAGAAAAACAACGAATTTCAAAAAAATGCTAAACGTACTGTTCTCTTGTTTATATATCGTCTTAAATCTCTTTATAATGTCGCTTTTTGATCCGAAAGTGTGTCTTCTTTTAACGAATCGTTGTGGATGCTTCAATGACTGTATGGATCTTCGGCTTGTTGAGGGTTTCGAATAAGGAAGAGCTAAAACATTAAATTGCATGTTCTTTTATTCAAAAAAAGTGATAAGTATAAAAAAATATGTGTGACGATTAAAATCGAGTAGTAAGAGTTCCTTAGAATTGTATAAAACTTTTTTGATGGTACCATTCTTAGTCTGGACCTAACGCATGTTAGGTCCAGATATGACCAAGAAGATTGATAATGTGCAGATGTCAAACAGCATTATAAGCAAGAAAATTCACACTTTGTAGAGAGAGAGAGCTATAGATAAAAAATTGTGAATTCTTCAGTTTAGCGCTTGATGAAGATACCGACGTTGATGGATTTGCTATTCTACTTGTGTTTGTGAGGTTTCCATTCGGGGTTAAAATAGAAGAAAAACTCCTTGTGTGAAGAGCTTAAAAGTTATGCCACTGGTAAAGAAATTTTCAAGGCTATCCACCAATATATAAGAAAAAATTATATACTAGTGGAGTAAATGTGTGGATATTTGCAGCGATGGAGCGGCTGCAATGGTTGGGAAAATTAGAGAGGCGGTGTCTAGAATAAAGGTAGTGACAGAAAATGCCTTCAGCAGTCATTGTATCCGTGGCCGGTCTCAGCTTTTGTGGAGAAGAGTTCTGAACTAAGTAGGGATTCTTCAGCGCTCCGCAGAAGACAGACTGGCGGGGAAGTCCTCAACCCCGACACGGCGCGTCCCATATGGCTGATAGGGACGTCCTGTATATTATACAGGATAGGGGCGAATAAAACCCCGCGGATCAACTGAGGACATGGTATAGGGCAGCAGCTATGTCATTACTAACTCCAAGGCTGGGAAGAATGACTTCTTAATAGGCTTGGAATCAGATACTTATGGGCGACAATCAGATATTGGTTTAATCGATTATAATACTGCGGTGTGTAAGGCAACGAGAAATCAACGCACTAAATATTCTCAAGATATAACTATGGCAAGTCACGGAAAACAAAAGGCCCCTAGTCCGTGGCAGACCTTAGATAGTCAAGGGGTGCTAAGAATCCCCACGACAAATGCTAGGAACCACCCGAAAGTGGAAAATAAAAATTACAAGTTAAAAATTGGAAACTGGAATGCAAAATCTCTCTTTATGCCAGGAAAATCACAGGTTTAAGAACCACTGGCTTACAGTTTTATGCACATTAAACTTCCTCACGTTTTAATGTGGCATAATCTAAAGAGAAATATAAAAATAAAGAGACATACGCCAGGAAAAATACAAATGTCTTAAGAAACATAATTGTAAATTAAAAAAGTATCAAAATATTTTAGTAATAGTTACTCACCTTCACCACTTGATTCATTTGTGACGCCGCCTTCTTCTTTCTAGTACTCGTGTCCTTCTTACCACCATCGACGATGTTTTCCTTACTACTATCATTCAATTTGACAGTCGTATCACGGACCTTAACATCACTATTACTTTTGAATCGGTTTTCTTCTGAATCGGCGACATTTATATTTCTAGATTGTCGTTTTTCCTCTAAAGGTAAACTTTGGTTAACAGAACTACTTCTTCGTGTTCTTCTTCTTGGCAGTACCTCATTGTCTACAAAACTGCGAGCTTGCCCTAAACTTGATTTGCTTCTTAATTTGGCGTTTTGAACGAAATCTTCGTGATCACCTGACGAGATTCTCTCACCAAGACTGGTTTTACTTCTAGTTCTTCGAGAAATGGTATTTTCACAGTCTGATTCACCTTCATCGTCAGTTGTGTAGACAATGTTGTCGCCTAAGCTAGTTCGGCTTCTGGTTTTTCTACACCAATCATCATCGTCGGTGGTAATGTCTGAAATTCTACCAAGTAAACAACTTTTGCTTCTCCTTCTACGAGCTAGAATTATTTCTTCTGTCTCTTCCTGAAAATCACTATTTCTTCTACTATACCTTGTTCTGCGTGGCGAACTGGCTAATAACTCCCTAGGGCTCTTTTTATCTAGGCCCTTGAGCTTTCCAGTAGAAGCAAATTCGTTGTTTTGTTCTAGTTTTTCATCAAGACTAGTTTTAGCTCGTTTAAGTTCTTTATTATCTTGATTTGATGAGATTTTGGTAGTCTCAGTACTTGTTAATTTGTTTATAGTCGAGACTTCTTCGTCTAGCAAGTTTTCAGATTGGCTTGATGTTTCTTTTCGTCCTGTGAGCAAGGTAGGCACATTTTGTGTACTTGTATCTTCTATTTCTGGACTATTTTCTAGAATAGAGTTTGAATTGTTGTTTTTTAGCAAATGTTTATTCTTTATTTGACCATTAATTCTAATTTTGACGTCATCTAAAATTTTGTTCACTTGTAATGTACTACGTACAGTATTGGCATCTAATCTTTGACTTAGATCTTCACAATTACTACTTATTGATTCCCTCATTTCATCTTCTGTCATTGTTTTTCTAGGTCTTCCAGGTCTTCTCTTTACTGTTACTATATCATCGTCCATGTTTATGTTTTTTTGTCCATTTTTGAGGACAGGGGAGATATCTAGCAGAGAATTATGTTCTGTAAGTTTGCTTTGGAAGTTGTCTTCTTTAATGGAATGTTTTCTTGGTCTGCCTCTTTTCCTTTTTGGTGTACCAAGCGGTGACAACATACCAGAGCTGTCATTCATTGTAATATCGTCATTTTGGCTCTTACCCGAATCTATTGGTTCTTTAGTATCTGTAGAACCATTGTTTTCCGGATTTTGAGGTAGATTCGGGGATAACACGACCTGCGGAGCAGATTCATTCTCTGTTGTATCTGTAACTTCTTGTTTATGACCTGTATCTTTGATTGTTTTGTCTAGTCTTCTTTTGGGAGTAGTATCTGATGGTAGTAATGTCTCGTTCTTTTCCACTTTTTGACATTGGTTCGCATTATCTGTTGTGTTTGTACCGTCAGGTCTACTAGGTGTAGTTTTGTTTGATCTGCCTGATTTTCTTTTTGGAGTAATATCTGGTGATAGTAATGTCTCGTTCTTATCTACTTTTCGACACTGACTTGTATTTAAAACCGGAGACGTTACCGCGTTTAGAGAAGCAGATTCATGCTCTGTTGGGTCTGTAACATCTCGTTTATCAGATTCACTTAATATCCTTTTTGGAGTATCTGGTGACACTTGCTGAAACTGACTTGCGTTTACGATTGGAGAATCGTTTAAAGCATTAGTTTCACTATTTGTTGTGTTTGTAAGCTCCCGTTTTTGGGGCGTATGCTTGCTACGTCTGCCTGCTTTTCCTTTTGGAGTAAAACCTGGTGACTCTGGTGCTTCTTTGTTTTTTACTTCTTGACACTCACTTGCGTTTAAAATTGGAGGTTTTGTCAAATCATTTAGGGAACTAGATTCATTCTCTGAAGTAACTGTATTAGGTTTATGTTTGACTGGAGTAATATCTTGTGCTATTAAGGTTCCAATCTTTTCCGTTTGTTGAGACTGACTTACGTTCACAATTGGAGGCGTTGTTAAGGTTTTTAGAGAATCAGTTTCGTTCTCTGTTGTGTTGGCATACGCCCGTCTATGCGGCGTATGTTTGCTACGTCTGCCTGCTTTTTCTTTTGGAATAAAATCTGGTGACTTCATTGCTTCATTCTTGTCTGTTTCTTGACTCTGACTTGCATCTAAAATTGGAGGCGTTGTTAATGCTGCCAGAGAGTCCGATCCATTCTTAATTTCCGTTGCAACTTCTTTACGTAGTGTATATTTGCTAGATCTACCTGCTCTTCTTTCTACAGGAACAATATCTGGCGTTGACATTGCCTCATCCTTCTGAGCATTTTCATGATTTTCCAACACATCTGTACATTCCCGTTCTAATTCTTGCTGAACCTGTTTCTGTTTCTTAGATGTCTGTCCTTGTGATCTCATTGATCTTCTTGTTGACAACAGTAAGTTGTTAGACTCTGGAGTAAGGTCTAATTTATCTCCATCTGTTTTGTTAGACTCCAAGCTGCTTTTTACACCAACAGTAACATGTTGTTCTATTTCTTTTTGTTCTCTACTGATGTCTAAATCCTTTGTTAAAACTACTGCACTATTTTGTTCATTTTGATTACCTAAATCATTCTCTTTTGCTGTACTTCTTGAAGTATCAAGTGATTTCAAAGTATTGTCGTTATTTTGGGCTACATTCAGTGTATCACTCAGATTTCCTTTAATTTCTTTACTTTTTGCTATACGTAGAGTAGATACTCGGTCTTTATCTTCACCACTTTTGGTAGATTTATTTTTTGTTTCATTTTCAGTTTCTATATTAGTTTGTGTTATATCACACATTTTAGTTTGTTTACAAATTAAAATGTTGTGTAATTCCACATTAACAGCACCTTCGGCACTAATACTAGTATTATTATCTTGTTTCTGTAAGTTTTCTGTCGGAACATTCTGGTTAGATTGCTTTGGTACAATTTTGGGCTCCAAATTCTCAATATTTGGTTCAATAATTGGACTTCGACTCTTATTTTCTTTGTCTCTATCAATTTCTTTTTCACTAAGCAATAATTTATTACTTCTGTTCACTTTTTTAATACTTTCAACGCCAGCTTGAATCTCCTTGGACCTAGTTTGATTTTTGACAGGCTTACTATTCGATGAATCATTTGTAGATTCCTGCAGTTCATTTGTTGTAGTATTTGTAGCTTCAACTGGTAGTACACTTTTGATTTCACAGTGTTTTGCGTCACTAGCGGATGTTTGGTTACTACAAGTGTTCTGGTCATCATCCTCAAGCATTTCTATAATTTTTCGTGTTCTACCTCTAAGATTATCAGTTGGAGATAAAAAGTGATTCGTTGAAGAAGCTGGAGAACATACAGAATTAAGATCTACTTTGTCTGGAGCTTCCAGTTCTTTCAGCGAAGAATTCGAGCTTGTATTATCTGTTAGATTAGATGTAGAGCTTGTGGGCTTTTTATTATAGTGCCTAGATTTTAGACACTCGCTTAATTTCTCATTAGTGGTAACTTTACACCGTCTTCCTTCACTTTCACTAATCTTTTGAATTATGTTTTTTAGCTCCAATATTTCTGGCGATTTTTTCAATTTGCTGTAAAATTTTGTAGGGGATTTAGGTGTGGGCGACTTGTAGGCATCAGTTTCTTCGACTGATTTAATTCTAGATGCTCCTTGATCAGATGATGAGCATTGTGGTTCAGTATTACTCTTATTATGGTCGATAGTTTTAACGTCTAATGCTTGTTGATGGGATTCCTTTGATTTTGAGCAAGTGTTTTGACCTATTACTGGTAAATCCTCATTTTTAGATGTTGATGGGAGATTGTGTGTTGTAGAATTTGGTTTAGGCCCACAACTTTTCGGTTCTTGTTTTCTGTTTGCCTTCACCTTGACCTTTTGTTCTTTGTTCATAAACACATCGAGTAGAGGACATTCTTCTTTTTGGAATAACTTAAGAAAAGCTGGATTTTTTAACAGTGGCGACTTATATTCATCTTTGTCAGGAACAGGTATGACATCTATGAGTTGTAAAATCATTTCGCGAGATCCTGATTTCTTTTCGCTTGTAGTTTTTGAATCCTGTTGTGAATTATTTAAGCGAGTACTCCGTCTTTTGGCCTGTTTTGCTTTAGGTGCCTCCGTAGGTGTTCTGAGGGGATGTAAAATTATTTTGAGTTGCTTTAAATAGTCCTCGTTTCGAGACACTTCTGAGTCTGATACACACTTCACCTTTTCATTTTTCTCTTCATTAGAAACTCGTATATCAGGATCACTAATAGTTTTTGTAAGCTTCGCTTTTGGCTTGTCACGAAAGATGGAAGTTTCCTTTGTGATGTTAACCATGAGTTGTTGTTTGTTAAAGTCAGTTGAAGTGAGAGATTTTAAAACTGGTGTAGTTTTTGTCGTTTGGAAATCTGTCTGGAGATTTACTGTTAATTTGCTAAAAACTTCATTGGTTTTTGAACAATTTGTCGGTTCTGAAGGAGTACTAGGAGCAGTGGATGATCTCAATTTCCTTGTTTCACCTGAACATTGACTTTCTAACGAAATAGGTTCTTTACTTTTGTGGGGGGTCGTATTTTTGGTTTTATTGGTATTGTCTCTAGTGGCATCAGATCTTAATGTTCTTCTTTCAGTTGGTGTATCATTTGTTGGTGTTTGATCAATGTAAGATTCAGATTTGCCTCTTGTGTTGGGGGTCGATTTGCTTATGTGTGATTCTTTGTCCTTTTGAACACTTTTATCCAGTCTATTTGTTTTCACAGTTGTGGAATTTGGTGTGGAAGTTCCGTTCGAACTAAAAAATTCAACTTCATGTTCATCTATCGTTAAATTATTTTTCTTAATAACAATATCAGACTTGTTAGGTGATATATTCACATCATTTTTTAATAAATAATTACTGCTAGGCTTAGAATTTGCAATGGCTCCGTTGAAATTGTTTTTAACGTCATTGATTGCTGAACTCCCTTGCTTTACAGGACTTGATGTTTCTGTTGATGAATTCAACGATTTATTGACCAGTACACGATTCTGCTTGTTTTTAACGTCTCTGATTGCCGAACTTCCTGGATTTACAGGATCCGATGCTTCTGTCGATGAATTCAATGATTTATTGACCAGTACATGATTCTGCTTGTTTTTAACGTCTCTGATTGCCGAACTTCCTGGATTTACAAGATCCGATGCTTCTGTTGATAAATTCAATGATTTATTGACCAGTACATGATTCTGCTTGTTTTTAACGTCACTGATTGCCGAACTTCCTGGATTTGCAGGATCCAATGCTTCTGTCGATGAGTTCAACGATTTATTGACCAGTACATGATTCTGTGGACGAGCTTTCACTCTAATTTCTGATAGGACAAGAAAATCTTCTGGAAAATCTACACACCAGGAATCATCTCCAAATTGTAAAGCTTGGATCGTAATTTCCGAAGCGTCAGAAACATTTGCGTCTAAAATACTAGGTTTCGAGGGTTTCTCGGGTATTATAGAAGTATCAGGTAGTCCAAAACTCTCTATAATAGGACTCTTCTTCGACGACTTCCGTGGATTACCGTAGGTTTTAAGAGGTGTCTTTGAATTATTACGTTTATCCCATGGAGATGTCGTAATATTGGGTTTTGATAGAAGCTTCAAAAGTTTCGAAACATCTTCCTGTTCTAAATTGCCGTTGTTGTCTTGGAACTGGTTTGTACTCATTTTAGAGGTGCTAGCACCTGCTTTAAAATGATATTTGTCGTTTGTACTTCCAGATCTACTGGTTTTAATCGAGAAAATTGGATCATCTGTATCGGTAAAGATTGCTATTATATCATTATCTGTTGTTTCCATTGAGGTTTTCTTTACTATATCTGCAATGATACAAAATAATTAGGAATATGTCATATAATAATTAAATAAATGCAAGTTAGAAAGTTAATTAAATAAAGAATTTGACAGATAACCAGTTGAGCTAACCAGCAATGGTCATCAAAATAACACATAAATCGCTAAAGCACTTCAAGGGTATCTAATGGAAATTGCTAATGATCTTTTATCATATAATTTGACTGGTCAGGATGTGTCAGACTGTTACAATCAGGAAACTAAAAATGGATCACTAATTGCGTCAAAATTGAGGTCTCGAAATATTAAAACAAAAATGTATTAAAGCAAGGAAACATCATAAGATGTAATGAACTCGAATTTGATTTTTTTCTGTGTATTTACCTTTTCGGAGGGATAGACGTTTATTGCATAATGACCAACTTATATTTTTACAATTTTGCAAAAACCGTCTAAGCCACTTTAAGTTATTTTTCTAATAAACAGTTTTTACTTATTTTGCTTTTGTACGTTTTTTAAGGTAGCCTGTAATTAATGAAATATATAAATTTGAAAAATTATTATGGTCACTACATTATGCTCATTTACTCTGAACCATATATGTGTGGCTTAGACTATTATTGCAGAACACCATCCAAATAAGTCTCTTTATTTTGAGAAATCTTTCAAAATGCGTTTTACTGGAGACTATTTGTACTATGTATTACTCCATATTCCACTCACATCTTTCATACTCTATCCTTGTCTGGGGTCATGCAGCTGACACTCACAGAGTATTTGGACTGCAGAGAAGGCAGTGAGGGTCCTTGCTGGTTTGGCATTTAGGAAGTACTGCAATCAGACTTATGAATGATTGGGAATTCTTACTGTACCAGCACAGTACATTCTAGGCAACCTTCAATTCCTGAAGAGGAATACCAATCTTTATAGAAGTCACGAAGATCAGGATGGTTATGATACTAGACACCAACATAATATGGTACTAGCATATAGGCGTTTGAAAAATTATTGTTAAATTGTTAAAATCAATAATGGCATATGCGTCAGAAACAAGACCTGATACAGAGAGGACAAAAAGGATGTTAGAAACAGCAGAGATGAAAACTAGAGCTGAGAGAAGTCTCAGAAAACCATATTAGAGCTTTCATAAGAATAATAAAAAGAAAGAGGAAATCTCCAGGCTGTGACTGCTTTAGTGTAGATATTATTAGAGAGTTTATAGAGGAGCTACCACTAATTACAACTAAATTAGTTAACCTCTCTATTATCACAATCTGCAGTCATATTTCCAACCACACACACACACAAACTCTCTCTTATCACTGGATTAATCCCAAAAGGAGGGGACTCAGAGCAACCTGTTGTTAATCAATATCTCTTTTAACAGCCAAGTAAAAGATCTTGGAATCATGTGTAAATAACCAAATTGTACAGCTCTTTAATTCATCCAGCTATTGATTTAAGAGGCAATATGGTTTTAGACATGATTAAATTACAGTATCTGCTATTATTGAGAAATCAAGGCAGATAGGAGCTACTTCAATGCATTTTACAAGGTAAAATTGAAGGAAAGAGCCCCAGGACGAAGAAGAATATCCTGGCTTGCTAACCTGAGAGCATGGTATAGAAAGACCTCAACACAGCTATTTCGAATAGCAATTAACAAAGTAATCATAGCCGGAATGATCGCCAACATTCAGAATGGATAGACACCCTAAGAAGAAGAATCTGCTACTACCGTCTTAATTACAGACAGACAACAAATTAAAGAAAGTTAAGTTTATATGAATTCAATATCCCAATTTACTGTTGCAGTCCATGTTGTATCTGTATGCTGATGACACCAGTCTTCTATATGCCAATACAGATCTGAGAAAGTTAGAAACATGTGGAAAAGGACTTAATCGAAATAGATAAGTGGTTTAAGTATCACATACTCTCACTTAATATGAATAAGTGCAGTTATATGATAATTTCAAATGAAGATGCACATATGGAGATGCAGTTAAACTTTGGAAAATTAAAATTTAATAAAAAGGGGTTCATCAAGTACCTTGGATTGCACATAGATAAAGATTTACTTAAGAACAACACATATTGTAATAAAATAGCTCCAGCAGTGGTGTACTAGGAATAATTGCTAAATTTATGTCTCCTTCATGGTAAAATAGTGTATTATTCTCTAATAAACTCATACCTGTCTTATTTAACCTACATGTAGGTAATACTGATTACAAACAGATTCATCCTCATAAGGTATTACAGAATACAGCTATTAAATATGTTTTTCAACTGCCACACTTTTATCCACAGAAGATTGGTACTATCCAAGAAAAATACTGAATATTGAATCAATGCATACTATGCAAGTTTGTGTATTAATTCATAAATGTAAGCTTTCTCAAGTACTAACAAATATAATACTAAACAAAGGGGTACTTTTCAAACAGGAAAAATATGAACTTCTGGTGCACAAAGATGCATATACTCAAATGACCTAATCTTGTATAATAAGCTGCCCAGTAATATGAAGGGAAGTCAACTAGGAAGATTTAAATTTGAACTAAAACAATTACTTTTTGATAATTACTTTAAGACCAATCAGATTTGAATCACTTAAATTTCTTATTGTATATTTTGAATTAATGAAAAAAAACCTGTCTGTACGAACATAGGTTACTGAATCAAATTACTTAACTAAAAATATCTTATTTAAACTTTGTAAAACTATGGTTAATGTAAAATTTGATTGAAAATGTCACTGTTTTAGTGTCAATTTAGTACTCATAGAAACAACATATCTACAACCCTTGGTTTATCAATGTGCTTTTGAATTAAACTTGTACATTGCAAAATTAATAAACTGGAAAAAACATTAATAATTCTGTTTTTTATTTTTGTTCAAGAAAACATTCTAGTCTTGCAACTTAGTGCAAAGATTGCTTTTGGTATATAGAATATTATTAAGTTATTGGGACCAATACATCTTATCTCATATTCGTATGCCTTTTACTTATTTTCAACAAAAAGTCCTAGAATCTTGAAACTTTGTACATCAGGTCCTCTTGGTATACAGAAGAATACTATTGAATTTGGGATCAATTGGTCTTTGAGGGATTTAAAAAGATCTTCTTCAGATCCAATTACATAGTTATTAAACTCTTTTTAGCTAAACTTTTACATTTAAACCCTATAGCAGAAAACAACTGCTGCGAATCATTTCAGTCACTAACCCCCTATCTTGAGGTAACCTTCGATCCAGCCTATAGAGTTACATTTGGTGCTCAGACAGGTCTAAATGTCTGAGAAATGGCTAAGGCTCTGAGAAATATGAAAATATGTGCTTGGCATAGGAAGGCAATGGATAGGGACGACTGGAAGAGAATTCTTGAGGAGGCTAGGACCCACACAGGGTTATAAAGCCAAAATGATGATGATGACAGGTCTAAAACTGCAGAAGGATCAGGGCTAAGAATTTTCAGTAGTGGTGGAAATTTAAACATTTCCATTGCACTGAGAGAATATACCATAACATGCATTAAAACACAGCGACTTAGATGGACTTAGATGGGCTGGACACATAATACAAATGCCAGAAAATACCATTGCTAAAAAGCTAACCACAGAAACACATGTAGAAAAAAGAAGTAAAGGCCGACTGGGAATTAGGTGGTTAGAGGGAGTAGAAACCGACTTACAAATATTAAAAATCAGAAGATGGCAACATGTTGCCAAAAACCGAACAGAATGGCGACGAATCTTAGAGCAGGCCAAGATCCACAGAGGATTGTCGAGCCAAAGATGATGATGATGATGAGAGAATATACCTCTATATTTTATGCAGAGATTTTTGAAAGAAATTAACATATCAAAGATAGCCATTAAATCCAAGACAGTTTGTATTCTTAAAGTCAAGTTCCAACACAATGGAAATTTTGAATACTAAGAACAAAATAAATAAACTGTTTTAAGTTTAAAAAATAGAAAACATAATGAGATATGCACTGTGACAAAAAGGCAAGAAATTGTAATTATCATATATCTGTGACTACCAAACTTTTGTGGAACATTGTAATCTCTGTAAAATACCAATTTAAACAAAGACTACATGTCTCACAAGAGTGTAGATAAGGTATTTTTCAAGATAGGTATATGTTTTCCTTTCTTAAAAACTTTAAAACCACATACTCATGAAGTGAATGCTCCAAATTTGATATGTGTTTGTATTACTCCATAGCTGGATACTTAAATGAGATAAATCCTTTACAAAGCAGTTACAAATATACATTTACACAAACAATAACAATTATAATAATATGTCTTACCATGTTCTGCTCCATTTCCAAAAGAGGTGGATTCAATATCAGATATACTATTTGTAGTTTTTCCAATGTCCTTGTTGACAACTGCTTGTACAAGTCCATCATCTGGAGCACTACTCTTTTGACTTGATTGAGTATCATTTCTGTTATTGGTGGATGTATTGGCAACAGAAGACTTCATTTCATTTTTCATGGATTTTTGTCCTACAATGAAAGATTGGGATTATTGTGGAAGTATGAGTTAAGAGTGCTGTATTCTACTGATAAAAGTAAGACAAAAACATACAATTGCAACATACCATGTGGTTGTAATAAGTTTTACTGTGAAATTTTTGGACCACATTATTAGAATATATGACTGGAAAAATCAACGGAATGAAATGCTTAAACTACAACCAGTTTAGATATACATATCTTTACGTGTATCACATAAGAAACACAAGCAATGGGTGGGATCACCAAATATAGTAGGTAGTAGAAATTGCTTAAAATCGGTAGACCTATGCAGTCAGCTCTTTGTATAAGACAAACTCAACTCAAGCAACAGAACTAAAAAAATCCGTAAAAATATCAGCAAAAACGTAAATTTCCCAGTAGCAACCCAATGTTTTTGTTGAATTAAAAATTAGACCAACTTGCATTTTTGTGTAATTGTGGTATTAAAGAATCATCTAGTACCTAACGAGTTTTTATGCCCTGATCAGTTCATTAGAAGTAGGTATTTAAAACCAGTAGCTTATTTTAATTTCCTTTTAATTATTGATATTGAAACAACAATAAATACCCCGTCCGATCACAACATTTCCCTCTTTTTAAAGCTTACAGGGCAAACTGGAATGAAGTTAGTTGACGCCAGATATTTTGACATTTAAAAAATTCTGTCATAATCATTCTGTGATCATATGATTTATTTAAAGATTTTCATTCGAAAATTTATACACTTATACAAGTAATAAAATCTAAGTAAAGGTATGCCATAAATTTAGTAATTCTTCCGTTTATGATATAAAGTTTATATCTAATATATAATAAAAAAATATCAACATTAACAACAACAAATTAAAAATAATTTTCTGTAACTGTACAGGCTACTTAAAAGATGCGCAACTATTTTATAATAGACTTGTTTTGATTTTAACAACTGTTTTATTCGAAATAAACTATCGTAACAGCAAATAATCCACTTACAAATTATTGAATATTGAAACAAAAATAGTTAATCTTAGCATGTTATTATTAGAAAAAAATAAGCTGTCAGTTATATGTAATATATAAAGAGAAGAATTAGCGGCATTTAAAAGTATAATTACCTCTTTAAATAAAGATATCGCATGTGCGTGGCAATAAAAAAATTTAAATTTATACATTTCAGTATCTGTTTTATAATTACTGAACACATTATTTTAATTTTTTAATAAATCTATTAAATGGGACATTGTTGGTTGCCTATCATTATTTATTATATTCCATCGATTTCACTTATCTAATCTGAACATTTACAACAAAACAATTTATATATTAGTCATAATTGCACAGTATCTAGCAGCGGACAGAGCAAGTTCTTTGTTTAATTACGAATTATTATGAAATATAAAATTAGTTATTATGTTTTTTTGGAAAAGTAAAGACAAGAATTCTGACAAGAATGAAAAAAAGTGAGTACAATCAATTTACAAAGTGCATTATAAAAATAAACCTTTGGAGATAATATTTTAAATGCAAAATTGATCTGTCAATGTTGAGTAGATATCTATGAAAAATTGACTCCTTGATTAAACAATATGTAGTTAAAAAAGCAGTATCAAATTATAAATAATTTGGAATATATTAATTCTCGGATCACTTATCTATTTAAATTATGTTCTAGGAAAAGGACTGTCTCGGAGACAGTCGCAGTCTTACAAAATAACAATACAACCAGTTACAATATGAGGTAAGTTGTACTTATCTATATTTTGAATATTTTTGGGCTTTTAAATTTTACATATTTCCATAACTTTTGGTTATTGGTCCGCGAAAAATCTAACAATATAATTTGTTATAAAAATTCATTTATAACTTTATTGGTCAACTAGAAAATAGACCTTGTATTTTATTGTTATTTGCTAAAATAACAAACAATGGGTATTTGGGGGATAGACAAGGGACCATTTCCCAAAATAATATGCCAGTAATAAAGATAAGATAAACTTGTATTTGCAACTTTTGAACAATTTAGCTGAATTATAGATTGTGTTATCAATATCAGATAACTGACAATCAAAAATAGTTTCTTTTTCATAAAATTTCTGATGATCACAATAATAGATAAACTTTTTAAATACATTTTATTTTGTATTTCGAGAAAATCAAAATTTATGCTTTTATCATTGATAAAATTTTGTTTTAATTTTTGCATAGCCTTGTATATTTGCAAAGTCTTTGACGCTGCCCTTAGATGACACTGCAACAAATGAAAATACGGTACCTGTATTGAAAAATATGTATATACCAGTGGCGGCTCCTGGGTTAATTATAACGAATTTGTTGCGAATAAAGAAAAAAAAATAATTTTAAGTGTTTATAATGCATTGTTTTTCATTTGATGATAAATAACCCAAATCTACTCGGCGTTTTTAGGTGGAGAAGGATAAATTACCACTATAGTACTTGGCATTGAATCCATATTGTTAACTTCGAAAAATCTAAAAATTAAAGAAATAACGCAGAAAATACAAAAAATTGTCGATATAAATTTTGAATTTTAAAATTTCATTAGTGTCAAAATGTCATAATTTAGTGGAGTAAACTTGCAGGCAGTTAGACCAATTAGAAACAAACATTACGGCGTGGTTGAATTACTCCTTCAGGTTAAAAACAAACTATAATACTACTATAACTATAGTACAACTATATTTATGTTTTTATAATTATAATTAGTTTTCCCCTATTTTTAGGTCGGCTCGCGCTGCCCTCTTTAACTTTATATCGGCTCGAAAGAATACCCAAACGAATACTTAACCTTAAAAATATTATTATAAGTTACGTAAATTGTTTTCAATCAGAAATCTAGGGTACACGTATGATTAACATGCGTGTCTAGTTTCAAAATAATTTTGTTGCACCTTAAGCTTAACCTTGAAGATTGAGCATTTTTATATAAACATTATTTGGCCTAGTAAACGTGTGGGTAGGGTCATCTATAAGTTATCTATGTGTATATATTAATAATAAATACGATACATCACACGTTAATATATATTTACCAATCCTGTTCCAAGTAGTCAAGATGAAGTTACAAGAGAAGTATTATCGCCAATGCGAAGTAAATTTTCATTCTTTTATATATTGTACACGCATTCCTTGCACCTCTCAGTCAGAACGGCCCTGCTAATCGATGAATTAGAAAATAAGAGTCTAGAAGAAACTGGAAACAACATAAAAGCAAAACTATGTCACCATGTGATGTGTAGTTGATCCTTTTATTATAGAATATGTCTATATATTGGTGTATTATGTTTCAGGAGGACAGTTCAGGTTATGGAAACATCCCATTCTAGTCAACAACGTACTATTACGAGTACTAGTACCAGTAGTGGAAGTAAGTAAAATGCAGCAGTTATTTTTTGTCGCCAATGTCTAGACGTCATATACGTAGAGTATATACAATCATTATATCTTACTTTAAAATCTAAACATGTTAAATGTCTAGTTTTTTGGCACGTTCATTTATTTGGTATTTACATATCTGCCAAAGCAAGTATTTATAGAAATGAAAGATGAAAATTTAACAGGAGATCTTGAACCATAGAATAAAAAGTAGGAGCATTTAAATCCCACCTCCAACTAGATCATCAGCATCATCAGGGCTGTTTGCCGCTCTTAGAGCTATCTGATTCGCTTTTTGCGGTGAATCACTCACGGTGAATTTTTTTTTTTAGTTTTTATTTCCAGAATTTCCTCGCATGCTTTGTCAAACCATTTCCGTTTTGGGCGAGTTCTGGTTTTTCCAGTGGTTTCCTTTGCTGCTTGTTCTATAATTAATGCCACTTGCTGCCATGCATGTTCTAAGTCAACTCTACATTATGCTCTTTCTCTTCCAGCAATTGGAATCTGTTGCTTATTGCCACTTGATAATCCAGTTGTTTATTTGGTGTTTGTAGAGCTTCTATGTTCCATATTTCATATTTTCATATTTCCATTCAAAAACTTTTGCTGGTATACAGCTCCCTACCTCAAAAATGGCCTGGAGCGGAAGGGGTTAATTTATCTTGAGGACTAGTAAGTAGAATGTTCCGATATTCTAACAAATAATTACTGTAATTAATGAATACTTATAAATTTTTAGCAATCACTTCAAGACAATGTCCTCCGCCTTCAAATATTACTGAAAATACTAGACACAATTCCTTATCGGAACTCACACTCAGACCTATACCGTTCCCTGGCCAGAGTTATAATTTGCCAAGAATGCCAACAAATTACATAAGTCCATTTACTAGACACAATAGCGAAAGACTGCCCACAAGAACTACTAACAATAACGTGGTATCTGACGCCAGAGTTTTTCAAAATAATGTTAGTGCCATTTCAAGTGTGCCACGAACACAGCCTTTTCAAAATAATGTTAGTGCCATTTCAAGTGTGCCAAGAACACAGCCTTTTCAAAATAGTGCCATTTCAAGTGTGCCACGAACACAGCCAACCACAGTGCCAAATAATGATAGGCGCATCACCACGAGGGAAGTACCGAGGTATGATACTAATGGGCGAAGAAGAGGAACTGTTGTAATACTCAACAACATTAAATTTTTGGACAGTAAGGACGAAAGAAAGGGAGCAGAATTAGATGAGAAGAACCTGAAGAGACTGTTTCAGGATTTGGGTTTCGATGTCAACGTTCATCGAAATCTAAAATTGACTGTAAGTATATCTATCTTTATATTTTCCAATAAAATAAATTGTTGAGTTTACCGATAGTACAAGTTGATTATAGCCGCAAATGTCAAACATGGAACAAAAAATTTCAATATAGCAGCGTTGGCATGTTTTTATAATGTAGGCGCTATATGCTTCAAAATAAGGTTTTAGAAAAGTACATTTTGTTTATATTTTGTTATAAATTCTGCAATTTTTGATTTTTATAAAACAGGAATGAGTAAATATTTGTTTCTTTGGAGATTAATTGCAGTTAATTATTATTTTTTTTTTTTGGCAATTACACTTTGATATATTAGGAGATAGATTTGGCAATCGTCAAATCAGCAGTTGTCAGATTGCAATAGATGTTTGCAATTAATCTCGAAAGAGACAATTATTTACTCGTTATTGCTTCATATAAATTAAAAATTGCAGAGTTCATACAATAGTTTAATCAAAATGTACTTTTTAAAAGCTTTCTCTCTTTATATTTGAAGCAGACAACATATGCATTATAAAAACATTCCATCGATTCCAACACTGCCAAACCCACGGTTCCTAGACTTACTACGGTTGCCTCTTCCGCCTAACCAATGAACGTTTAGCCGGATTGTACTCCTGTGACGTAATTTGAATCTTAACATTCAGCCCTGTGATTGGATGGATGTATCAAAACAAAAATGTTTTATAAATAAAGTAGGTTGATTTCATATTTCATGTAATCAAATGAACTATTTTACAATAAAGCCAAGTTAAAGTTATTTATTTATGTTAATATACAATAAAGTACTTACATATGTCAAAAAATAGTATAAAATAAAAATTAACATATTAAAAACATAAGGTATAATAATGCATATATACGTTAAGGCAAACATTACACAGAATATTATATTCTGGGTTCCCAGGTATACACAAAATAGGATTCATCGTCATCAATACACAAGCCAGTTCGAAACATTAAAGTTAAAATTTAGGAATTCATCACTTGAAAACTGCTTCCCCTTCAACCAATGGACTCTTTGCTTCACCACAATACTCAAAGATATCATTAAGGTTAATTTCCATTATTAAATGATACAAATAACTCGTCTTAAACCAAACTAAACATGGAAAAGCAATGGTAAATATTCGAATGTTATGTTTGTTTTTGTTTATACCATTTATATCGGCCATGACACTGCAATCGACCTGCCCTCTACATTCAGTTTCAATCGCGAATAAATGGGTTTTGTATTCTTGTGTACTCCTGTGACGTAACTCAAGCATCCCCACCCCAGTCGGAAGAGGCAACCGTAGTAAGTCTACGAACCGTGTGCCCAAACCCAAATATTTTTGACATTTGCGGCTATATTCAGTTTGTACTTTCGGTAAACTCAACCAAATAAATATATACTTCATCTAATTTACTTACAGTTACACGTCATTATCATTGGTTGCGTTCACCAGATTAATCCGCTTTCAATCCGATTGCACGTCGCTTAATGCTAAGAATTATAAGTTCGGTCAACGACTGACGTTTGACAGTTGTGCTTGTTGCTTTGTTTTTGTTTTTATTAACCTAGCCACAGAATAAATAACAACACCTAACTAAAATAATTTGTTTGGGGATGATATTTTATATTATATTTATTTATATATTATTTTTTATAGTGTTATTATATTTATATTCTATTTCAAACAAATTTGCCATTTTTTATGTGATAAATTTATATGTTGGCAGAATTCGACTATTAGAATAAGCTATTCATCCATTCAGCGATGATTAAGCACAACAAATTTAAGGCTGAATAAAATGGCGACCGCTTATCAGCCGCTTGGAGATAGCGCATGTTCAGCACATCGTTCACCAGAATCGATTATAAGCCGCTTGCAAGCAGCTTCTAAACGATTGAGTCTGGTGAACGCATCGAGTTAGAATCTAGATTCTAACTCGATGGGTGAACGCAATCATTGACAGAGATCGAAGTTGACATAGTTGCCAAAGTATAAAAAAATCCTGAATCCATTTTAAATCAAATAGGTCACATAATGATTGCAAAAGTATTGACATCTCTTTACAACGACTATTTAAATTCTTATGTGACATTTTTGAAATAAAACACACTAATTTTGTTCTACAAAGAACAGATTTTATTAAATAGGTAAAAATATAAAACAAGAGGTATTCACTTTAAAATTCAAAATAATAAAGTACAAAAAGTGTCAACACCGCAGCTGTCAAATAAGTGTTACCAATTTATGCCAAAATTTCACCTTCGTTCGATTACAGTTACAGTGTGTTCCGAACAAATGTTCTTCATAAAAACGCTTTATAATGCATTTATACAAATTAAATGAAACATATTATTGTGTATTTCTTTAAGTTAACATTAAAAGAAATCTTTAAATATTATATCTACGCGTGTATAATAAAATATGTCTAGTGGCTGTAATGCCAGTGTACTCGGCAAAGTGATTCTAAAAAAGAACACACCTACCGCCAAAATATTTCGTGTTGGTATCATGTGACGTCACGGGCTATGACGTCGATGACGCGCATCGGTATGTAAAGTAGATGAAGTATATGTTGCAATACTGCAAATTTTGTCTGTTACTCATTGCTGTGTTGTTTCGTGACGTCAGATACGAAATAAGAAACAATCAGAAGGTAAATTCACAAATTTCTCTTTATAAAAGAGAAAAATAGGATGTTAAGCGCAAAAAGTGCCTCCCTGGTTCCCATAGCATTTCTAAAACCAAATTGGGTATCTTCGAGACTTCGCATTGCTATTCTGTTGTGAAGATTCTTAGAAAATTTTAAGAGTGTGGCTCATTAGGCTAATTCATCGCTATTCTGAGCATTTTTTGCATTGTGTTTTTTAGGTATTGTGACAAAGATGGATTTGAGCCAATCTGTGGGAATCACTCCGGTGTTATATATTGAATTAAAAAGTGTTACTACTACTTTTATGTTATCATCCTCTATTAGTTTCAGCAACTCAGTTGGTGTATCATCTGGACCACAATCTTTTCTAATTTTAGCATTATTTATAGCATGTTCTACTTCGCATTTCATAATTTATGGGCCGTCAGTACAGTTTTGGTAGAATTCGGCAATATTATCCTTGTCATCTTAAAATCACTCTGATATAGACAGCTGCCATTCTTTTCTTATTTCGTGTATTTCGTGCTCATTTACAATAATTTTGTTACTATTGTCAATGAGTACAGAGGGAATTCGTTTTATAAATATTTCTTTAAAAATTGATTAGGGGAAGTGTGCCTATGTTGGACCCCTGCCTGTGACGAACCCCCGGCTGTAATTTTAAATAGCGCGCGGTTACATACACATCGCCGGTTGCCGCCTGCGCACGAAGTTTGTAGTTTAGTATTTGCAAAGTTTCAGACACGTGGCTGTTATAACAGTAAATTTGTGAAATAAAATTAAAATTTGGCGTTGCTGATCTAATAGTTTTTTTTGGTAAGTAGCATTTTACTAGTAACATACGTTAAACTAAGTGTTGCTTTTGTTTTGTATAAAATGACTACACTTTCTTTGTCAAATACTATACTTTGTTTTAGGTTAAAATGGTCAAAACAAAAGTAACAGAATTAAATTTGCTGCCTTGTCTATTTGCCTATGATGGACCCCTGTGTCGTTACCTATGACGGACTAGGGGTCCATCATAGGAAAAAGAAAATAAAATTGGACACACCTTCAGTTTTTGTTACTTAATGATTAACATAATATGTTTTACAGGGATGGCTCTACAAAAAAGGCAACAGTGGAACGAGAGTAATATGCAACAAGCTTTAAAAAGCATACAAGAAAAAACTATGGGGTTTAAGCTGGCAGCAAAAACATTTAACGTTCAAAAACGACTTTGAAAAGGCGCTTTATTAAGCATCAAGGAAGTATCAAAGGTGATTTGGGAGGACGAAGACCAATATTCTCCACTACTATTGAACAGAAAGTTGCTGACCATATTATTACTATGGAAACTCGTTTTTTTGGCCTGACTAGTAAAGATTTGCGAAAACTTGTATACGAAGTAGCTGAAAGAAACAATATTAGCCACAATTTTAATAAGGAAACCAGGATGGCAGGCTGGAAATGGGTCAGAGGCTTTTTAAAGCGAAATCCTCGAATATCATTACGCACTCCAGAAAATACTTCGTTGGCAAGGGCTCAAGCTTTTAATAAACCAAATATATGTGCCTATTTTACTGCATTAGCAAATATATTAGACGAGTTTCACTTTCCACCGGAAAACATTTATAATATGGACGAGTCCGGTTTGACAACTGTGCAAAAGAAATCGCAGAAAATTTATGCTAGTAAAGGTCGCAAACAAGTTGGTGCTTTAAGTAGTGCAGAGCGCGGTCTACATGTTACGGTCGTATGTGCAATGAATGCAATTGGAACATATGTTCCTCCTGCTTTGATTTTTCCTCGACAGAGAAAGAAAGATGAACTTATGATCGATGCACCTACTGGAAGTATAGCCTTCGCTCAAGAAAAAGGATGGATGACTTCCGATATTTTCTATTTGTGGCTGCAACATTTTTTAAGGTATACAAAGGCTTCTAAAACCAACAAAGTTTTGTTGTTACTCGATGGCCATGGTAGTCACAAAAGTTTTGAAGCTCTCCAGTTTGCAAAGGAAAACGGTATTATTATGTTTTGTTTTCCTGCTCACTGTTCTCATCACGTTCAACCCTTGGACGTAGGATTTTTTAGACCACTTCAAATTTACTACGGCCAAGAAATTCAATTATGGCTGCGACAGAATCCAGGTAAAACGGTGACCCAATTTAAAGTAGCCAGTCTCTTTAATAGAGCGTATTTAAAAAGTGCTTTACCATCAAATGCAATCAATGCATTTAAAAAGACAGGAATACAACCATTCAATCCAGATGTCTTCGAGGATTGGCAATTTTTGCCGTCTATAACAACAGATAGAGAAAATTCTGAACAAAACCCACTGCCAGAATGTTCTGACCAGAAGTCACCACCGGAACATTGGAGCCAAAATGTTTCTTCGATTGAAAGTTTATCAAAAAGTCCCACTGATCAGAAATCACAAAGAAGTAAAAAAGGAAACAAGACGCCAGAAACGTGAAAAGGCAAGTTCGTGTTTCAACTACAGGTGGTTCTGAAGACGATTGTGAATGCTCTTTTGTAGAAGGCGACTCGGGCGATGCAGCTTGCATCTACTGTAACGAACTATTTTCGCATTCACGATCCAATGAAAAATGGATTCGTTGTCAAGTGTGTAAGAATTGGTGTCACACTGAATGTGCAGATGTAAATCCTAGACATAAACAATTTGTGTGTGAATTGTGCGCGTAATTTTTTTATTCTAAAAATACCATGTGTAATATTTTTTATCGTTTGTAATGTCTTTTGATCTAAAAAAATAATTTGGTATTTAATTATTTTACACAAAATGGGCGTACCAAAGGGTCCATCATGAGCGCATATATGCCCATGATGGACCCTTAACAGGATTTTAGTAAAATCCTGTTAAGGGTCCCTTAATTTTATTTTAATTAATTAGGACCCTTAAAATTTGAAACATTTGCCATATTGTACAAATAACGAGACGTTATGTGGTCATATTTAAAGTCTGCTAAGTAAATAATTAAAATTATTATGAAGCTATTTTCTTAAGGGACCATCATAGGCACATTTCCCCTATATGGAAATGTAACTGAAAATCTATGAGAAAGCTAACAATACAAGGTGTGAAAGTATAACCGATATTTTTAAAGGAAGGTAAATAAATTTAAGTGGCGCCACTGACAACTGCGTGAGTACTTGCGCCGAGCCGAGAGCGCGCTACGGTATATGCGTTATATCTCGGGATTGGTTTCGAATTTTTATATATTTTAGACAGTTATTTTTGAGATTTTTTGAAAAGTCTAGACGGTAATAATTACCTTAACAAGAAGAATGTTAAATTTATCATTGTTGTATTATTATTTTAGGAAATGAAAAGTAAAATTAGCCGTTACAGACAAAGTAACGATCTCGGCAGAGGTGCCATGTTGATTGTAATAGTAATGAGTCACGGGAACAATATGAGAGGCGGTCAAGAAATACCTGGAGGTTTCACACAAATTCTAACTGTCGATGACAAATATCTGAACGTCGATGATGTTCTGTCGGAGTTTACCAACGATAAGTGTGTGGCGATGAAAGGAAAGCCGAAAATTTTTATCTTTCAGTGCTGCAGGTAAGTTGAGTTCTATTACAAGGTGTTATTCCTGTTCTATTACAAGGTGCAAAATTTCAATTTAAAATTACATTTAAAATTGTTCATAAAATAAATATACAGGGTGAGTCATAACTATTGGGACATAGACTAAGGACAGGTTATCTGGACCAAAATATGGCCATTGGGCCAAATATACCTTAATAAAATGTTGCTGAGAAAAAAGATACAGGGTGTTAAAGTGGAAATTTAAAATTTTATTTTTGGCTATAACTTTCATGTTTGTAAACATTTATGTATAAAAATTTACAGCTGGGTACTATTGAATATCGGAAATTATAATTTGATGCATACTTTAATATATCTAATAGAGGGCGCCACATATGCCACATACGTGGCATACATTTACACTTAACTTTTTTGTTCTTCAAATTACCGGTATTCTTGATAAAAAATATTAAAGATACATTATTTTAACAAAAAAAAGGTATACTTGTTAATAACTTCAAAACTCAATAGTTTTCGAGATAATCGCATTTTACAAATCAACTGCATAATTCTGATTTAACGCAATTACTCCAGGCAATGAAAGAAAAATAGATAAAAACATTAATACTTCTGAATTTTGTTATAAAATACCTTTAATAAAGTCAATAGTTAACGAAATATTAAATAAAATAAATATACCAGCAGGATAATTAATAATAGGATTTGATAAAATAACAGAATAATTGGATTTTACATCAAACATTTTACGTTTTGTATTAAATTAAAGTCATAATCAAAACATTTTATTTACAAACCAAATTTAAAAATAGGTAAACTAAATAACATTAAACTTTTTGTCAAAGTAAGTGTTTGATATGTCTACCATTTTTTTTAATTCATTTGTCAATACATTCCATAAAATATCATCTCATATTAAATAGCATCATTGGTTCTAAAGAACCTGCTGCAGTATTTATTATAGTTGTTTTAAGTATAATAATTAGTAATTTTTTGAAATTTTTATGAATTAAACAATTATTATTATCTCACCACAAGAATATGATTACCACGAACAATCCAACGTTCAGGAAAGTGTATTTAAATACTGTCTTACTCCGCTTTCACTGTAATGTAATGGTGTACCATCTTGTAGAAACCACATATTTTGCCTTAAGTTTGATAACAATTCTTCCAATAAATCAATAAAATCATTTTATTAAAAATGTAAATCAATCTCGACAGTCAAATTGCAAGGTAATTCGCATATCCGAAAAAAATAATTATCAATGGTTCCAAACCATGGGACTGAATTTTAAATATGAATTTTGAATGATATTTTACAGATATGCGAATTACCTTTCAATTTAAATGGTGAGATTTATCTACATTTTTTATAAAATGATTTTATTGATTTATTGGAAGAATTGTCATCAAACTTAAGGCGAAATATGAGGTTTGTACAAGATGGTACACCATTACATTACAGAGAAAGCGGAGTGAGACAGTATTTAAATACACTTTCCTGAACGTTGGATTGTTCGTGGTAGTCATATTCTTGTGGTGAGATAATAATAATTATTTAATTCATAAAAATTTCAAAAAATTACTAATTATTATACTTAAAACAACTATAATAAATACTGCAGCAGTTTCTTTAGAACCAATGATGCTATTTAATATGAGACGATATTTTATGGAATGTATTGACAAATGAATTAAAGAAAATGGTGGACATATCGAACACTGACTTTGATAAAAAGTTTAATGTTATTTAGTTTAACTATTTTTTAATTTGGTTTGTAAATAAAATGATTTGATTATGACTTTAATTTAATACAAAACGTAAAATGTTTGATGTAAAATCCAATTATTCTGTTATTTTATCAAATCCTATTATTATTTATCCTGCTGATATATTTATTTTATTTAATATTTCGTTAACTATTGACTTTATTAAAGGTATTTTATAACAAAATTCAGAAGTATTGATGTTTTTATCTATTTTTCTTTCATTGCCTGGAGTAATTGCATTAAATCAGAATTAAGTAGTTGATTTGTAAAATGCGATTATCTCGAAAACTGTTGAGTTTTGAAGTTATTAACACGTATACCTTTTTTTTGTTTAAATAATGTATCTTTAATAGTTTTTATCAAGAATACCAATAACTTGAAGAACAAAAAAGTTAAGTGTAAAAGTATGCCACGTATGTGGCATATGTGGCGCCCTCTATTAGATATATTAAAGTATGCATCAAATTATAATTTCTGATATTCAATAGTAGCCAGTTGTAAATTTTTATACATAAATGTTTACAAACATGAAAGTTATAGCCAAAAATAAAATTTTAAATTTCCACTTTAACACCCTGTATCTTTTTTCTCAACAACATTTTATTAAGGCATATTTGGCCCAATAGCCATATTTTGGTCCAACTAACCTGTCCTTAGTCTATGTCCCAATAGTTATGACTCACCCTGTATAGTTTAAAATATAAAGACGGTACTAGATTTTTGTTTCAATATAGAGCGGCGGCAAGCCGCTTATACGTATTTAGACCTATTTAGGTCTCTTCAGAGCGGTACAGCCACCTCTCTGGATCGAAACAAAATCTATTCCCGTCTTAAACAATAGTTATCGAAATAACTATATACGGACGTAACTACGCAATCTAATAACAAAAAGAGAAATCATACGATTTCTATCTAGTACCGTCTTTATATTTTATTTCTTTACTCCGTTTGGAGTACCATAAGCTGAGGTGGATGGATGGGGTAACACAAGATGCGGAGAAGATCGGAGTCGGCACCTGGAAAATGCAAGCAAGGGACAGAACAGAATGGCGTAGAAAGCTTGAGAAGGTCGAGGCCCTCTAAGGGCTGTAGCACCAAGACGACGATGATGTATTTTTATCGAGTTTATGTTATGAGAAACGAATCAGGTATATGTAAACAAAACAAAAATCGACGGACGAACGGAGATGACTCATCTCATTTATTGCATTATGTATTTTTCCGGGTTCATATAAATTCCGCACATGGAATGTGCCTTTTCTACAACTCATTTCGGTATTAAATGGAATATTTATTTATTGATATTATTACAGAGGACATAGAAAAGAATTGCAAGTCGATGCAGTACCCTTTACCAACATTGTAAAACAACACGCAGACATGCTGATTGCGTATTCTACAATACCGGGTAAGTAATCAATCTTCCTTTTCATTGTTGAACATAAGTTTTCACTAATATGCTGTTTATTTCAAATTTTTAGGCTTTTTTTCCCTACGAGAACCAAAAAATGGATCGTGGTACATCCAAAGTATCTGTAATGTATTTAGACGACATGCTGCAGAATATCACGTAGAAGAATTGTTGAAGATTGTAGATGATGAACTGTCTAGAAAGGATCCAGAGTATAAACAGACCTCCACTTTCGAAAATAGAGGCTTCAAGGAATGTTACCTGCTACCCCAGCCTTAGATGAATATTCAGAGTTACCCTTATAGTTAATTTTAACGATTGTTTCAAACATGATGAATATAAACTGATTTGTGATGGTTCGAAGCTACGATTTGTGACGGTTCACAGTATCTAATACGGAATTAGTGTTTACAATTGTGAATTTTTGTGAAGTTATAACGAATAAGGCAAAATAGCAATAGGAAATATACTAAAAATAAAAAAAACTGATAAAAAGTTTATAGTATATAGTATAGTATTTAAAAGGATATAGTAAATGAAAGATTTAATCAATATTTTGATGAAAATGTATATTTTTTATTTTCATATATGTATGAATTGAATACAAAAAAAAATTTTACACATACTCTGCAGTAAAATTCATTGTTTATTTTGTTATTAAAAATAATATGTTAAAAATGTTAATAAAAATCTATTTAACAACTTGTTAAGCCACATTCTTTAAAAAAAAGGGCTTTCATTTGACAGATACTTAAGCATTGGTTTGTCTATTTTACTATAAGTATAAAAAGTATATAAGCATTTTCCGATAAGCCTTTATACATATTTTTTATTGCTATTAACCTATCCGTTATAATTTATATTGATCTCTTATAATAGATAAAACTGAATACAAGATGTGATTGATTTTTTACTGTGCCTCAATTCTGTGTTGCTTGTTTTATAAGGAGAGAATTAAAATAAAACAAAAACCTATTGCTAAATTTATTTATACTACATATATCTACAAAAACTGTATAAAAATTTAAATAAAAATCATTAACAGCGATTCAACGCGTGAACTAAATAAAAAGCTGGCTATATATTCCAATATAATGTTGCAATAGAAAAAAATACATGTGCTGTGAAATAGATAAGTTGAACGATGTTTAGAAATATGGAACTGATTTCTTGCATATTACAGTTTGTCGCAAGCTTGCACGAAAAATTATTAATGAAATTATCACTTTATTCGTAAACTGATCATTAATAAAAGAAATTGGTTTAATTTTACTTCACATATTCATTTTAATAAATTATTTTCGTTGATTATAAATCACAAGCATGAACTTTTATTATTCTATAATTCCCTACTACCCTGGAAATACGGCAACGCTGTGTGAAATGAAAACGTCATATGGACTACCCAAGCTCTGACGTCACAATGGGAGTGGGTTTTAAAAACCTTTCCAAACATTTCTAATTTGTGTGGATTTGTTCCATAAGAAGTTGGAAATATTAGTTTTTTTTAATTGTTTGAAGTTAGAAGTGAACGTTCATATTTTAAGGTTGTTATTTTTTAATTAAAACTTTTATTATTTTTTACTGTATTTCAAGATATTTTGTTGCTTTTATCGGAGTTATTTCAAAATTAATCAATAAATCATTGAATTTATTTACAAAGCTAAAAATATTTGAATTAATGTTTTATTCTCTTCTAAGACCTAGTGATTTTATCCATTAAAAGACTAAATATATTCGTTGTCTCTTAGTTTAAACAGTTATTAGTAGTGTTGTTGTCATTACTGAACAATTCAGTTATACTGGATATCTTCAGCACATGTTTGCTAGCCATTATATGCCCAGATCTTTCCAAAATTCCACATCCCCGATAAACTGATAAGATTGGTTAAGGATTCTTCTTCGCGTGACATATCAGAACTATCCGACGTTGGCGATCACCATTGCGAAGGCTTCTCGATCTTATGCAATATGGAATAATTGTCCTGCATTTGGTATCTGAGTCCATTCACGAATGTTTGTTAAGGTTTGGTTAAGGCTACAATGAGTAAAGTTGTTTGCAAAGTCGAAATACAGGCCGAACAATCACAGGCATTTGAAAAGCATGTTGGGCTGCGACAGAGAGATGCGCTGGCGTGTCTCCTTTTCAACATAGCTCTGAAAATGCGGTCAGGGATGTCCAAATAGACAACAGAGGAAAAATTCTTAATAAATCATCCCAAAGATTTGTGGTAAAGACTAGTATCTCTTATAAAAATAGGAAAACTAAGATGGGCAGGACCATCTTAGTCTTCCTATTTTTCCATTATGTCACAACTGTGGGAAGTAGAAGTAGGGGTAGGCCAAAACTCAGATGGAGGGATGGTGTAGATGAGGATGGTAGAAAAATAGGCGCAGCAAACTGGCAACAGTTGGCAATGGATAGAACTGACTGCGTAATAGACTTGGGAAGGTCGAGGCTCTTTTATAGGGCTGTAGCACCAATGATGATGACGATGATATGCCCAGATCTAAAAAATAAACTCAAAAACTATAACAAGATTTAAAAAACATTTTTTTAAACACTCATTATGGAAATTTGATAGAAAGGTTTCCACAAAATGTTATATTACAACTTAAACTACGAGAAACTAATATCTTTGGTCTTTTACAGGATAAAATCACTGACAACGGAAAAAGAATAAAACATTAATTTAAATATTTTCAAGTTCGTAAATAGACAAAATGATATATTGATTTATTTTGAGATAAGTTGATAAAAACAACAACCTTGAAATACAATAGAAAAATAATCATTAATCAATCACATAACCTTAAAATATGAACATTGTCTCCTAAGCATTGTGTTTTTTGTTTCATGTCAAAATATGCCTTGGTTCATTTTTTAGAGCCAAATGAATTTGCCACCCACAATTTAGGACTTTTTTAATTATGATTATTTTGGAGTTTCTACAAGAAAGCCGTTGCTCTGGTTGAAGATGGGCGAAATTATGAATATGTGGCTAGCGTAAAGCGGGAAGTGGCAGCAAGCGCAAAACTAACGCTTAGATGATAGTTTTATACGAGTCAACGCCTTGCGGGATCGTCATTTAACAGCGGTACAAACAAGAAATCAGCTTCAAGAGGTTCAAAGCAATAATGTAAGTGTATTTACAGTTCATCGAAGATTACATGAATTTGGTGTGCAAAGTTGCAGACCAGCAACTGGGCCAAAATTACTTCCAAGGCACAGAGTGGCTAGACTACAATTTTCCAGGGAATTTACGACAATGGAGTAATGTTCTTTATACGGATGAGTAGAGATACTATCTTCACTCATCAGATGGGAGAGAACGAGTATGGCGTCGAACTAGAGAGATTTGCGGAGGCGCTTTCAGTCTTCACGTTAGTCATGGAGGGGGTTCGGTGATGGGCAGAAATATCCCTTTTTCAGTAGTTTTTCTTTGTTATTTGCGAACTTAGTTTAAGTTACATTCAAGTTGTTTGTTTTATGTTTTGTCATTATTATTATTGTTCATTAAAACCAAGATCATGTCGTTGCTTTTAATCATTATTTAGATACAGTGCTTCTGGGATGTCGATATGACATTCCTTTGATATGTCACCAAAGCCCCCTTAGTCGTATTTCAAATTAATACAAAATAAAATGGTAATGATAGGAAAAGTCGTAATTATGGGTGGCAAAGTCATTTCGCTCCTAAAAATGAACCAATTCATATTTTCATATGAAGCAAAAAAAACTAATACTTAGAAAACATGGTTGCAACCGAAAAACAAGGTTTTACAAAAATCCGTTAACGAAATTATTCCACAGGATATTGCATAAAAGTTAGGATAAAAAACCACATTTCGATTACCCCCATATAAAAAACTCACTACACTGAATTCAAATTTATAAATTTTTACATAGTGCTAGTGAAGTGTGCTAAAAAAATCATCAAAGTAGGGCTCAAAATATAAAAAACTGAAATACTTTGAATTTCACCAAAATTTTCTGTTGCGTTTTCTTTTATATTCTTATTCTTACCTCACAAATTCACGAACAACAAATAATACCAATCGCACAGAATGAATGGTTCCAACTTCTTATGGGACAAATACACACAAAATTAGAAATGAGCTTAGGTAGTTCATTGAACAGTTTTAGGAAAATGATAATATAAAACCTATCATGTGTCTTTTCTGACAATAAAGATAACGAAATAAGTATATACATATATAGTAAAATATGGCACAAGTAAAATTCTAATATCGCTGTACATGATTTTTACATTTAAAAATAAATTAAGTTTTTATGTTCTAAAATTAAACCAAATAACGCGATGCCTTTTTGCATAGAAGATCACTATTTTTGGCTGAATAATCAACATTTGAATGGAAATGAATGGTATAAATCAAGTTTCTGGCAAAAACTGATCATTTTTTGATAAAATCTTAGTGGGATAAAACATTTTTACAACGTTACTAATTAATAGTACGAGTACGGAACTGAGTAAAACAAGAAATGTAAATTTATCGGTTCTAGGTTTATTGCAGAATGATTGAGACTGATTGATGACAGTATTAAATAGTAAAGTTAAGTTCGTGTAACCTTCTGGCTAAGGTCTAGTATTAGGGTTTTCAGGTCACTCAAGCGCCCCTAACGCGATTTAACGACTACCTTCGTAGTCATGGAGCGACGGCTTTACGTGCCCTCCGAAGCACGGTGGCAGCTCAGTTAAATTAGAAATTGAAAATTTTGTCGGTGCCGGGATTGGAATTGCCGAATGCCGGGTGCCGATCCCTCCAGCTTGTTAAGCCAGTACCACAGCCACTGAGCTACACCTGCCACAGTATTAATGATATATTCATTATTAGTATCATGCTAATATTTTTATCTTCCATTTCGAATTTGTCACTTTTAAAAGCAAAGATCGAGAAACGGAGATAAAGGTCAGATAAAACAGCCTAATAAGCCACGTCGCCATTAAAAATGGACGTCTTGATGTTACTACAAACAAGGCGGCTTTGAAATTATGACAGTTGACAAAGTTTGAAATGCCAGTCGATAGCATTTGACGGATAGCAACAGATATTCCACTTAGAACATCAGTAGAGGTAGAAAAAAACTCCGTAAACTGTATGTCACTAAGAATCTCCATATGTTACTGTAAGGCACGCCTCTTTAAAAATGACCGCTCTGATATCACTACAAATAGTGACCTTCTTCTTAACGTGCCCTATCAAGTCCCCTTGACGTTGGCGATTAACATGGCGAAACTGTCCTGTCTCGAGCTATTCTAAAGAGTTGCTCAGCTTTCCTTATTCCTGTCTATTCCCTGATATTCTTCAACCAAGAGGCCAGTTTTACGCAAACTCTCTTCCCACTGTATCAATGGCATTTAAAAGGCATTGTAATCCATTCATGTCATCACTTACAATAACTGTATCGTCTGCATATCTGATTGTATTTATCAGAATTCCATTAACTTTCACGCCCCATTCCAAATTATGCAGCGCATTATACCCAAACAGTGGGGATAGTATACAACCTTGTCTGACACCTCTTTGTATTTTACATATTTCTGTTGATTTTCCGTTTATGCAAGCTGTTTATGCATTTGTGCAGTAATACATTTAGTGCAAAGAGGGCGTCCCGAGTTCCCAGTCCATTTCTGAAGCCAAATTGTGTTTCCATCCTGGTCTTCTTCACATTTATCTCTGATTCTACTGTGGATGATGCGTACAAATATTTTCAAAGTGTAGCTCATAAGGCTTAGTCATTCTATAATCGCTACAGTTTTTCGGGCGTTTTTTTTCGGTAGTGTTATGAATCGTTGGACTTTAACCATCTTCAGGGATTATCATCAGTCGAATAACATCGTTGAAAAGCTTGACCAGTATTTCCAATGTTCTCCTCATTTATAAGCTTTAACATTTAGTGACAAATAGTAGTAACAAATAGTAACCATTTATA